TCCCTTATATCACTTAGAGCGGCTCTCTGGTTCAGATACATGCGGTATGACTCTTCCAAGCGACGAAGCATGTGGTAGGTGCATAGCAGACATTTCTAGGACTAACTTGCAACAATCCTTGACGAAAGTACTCAACCCTTGCTATTTCTGTGTTGGAATATCTTGAGTGTTTTCCTGAAAGCTAAGTTATGTATAATTTCATATGCTCGTTTAGAAACCAATCTTGTTTCTTAAGGTTGAGTGAGGGCGTATAGAAGTGAGTGTTGCGCTTAATGTTTATTTGTAGTAATTCACGCTCGGAAGCCTCATCCTTTCTCGTTAGTTGATAGCAATTTATGAGACGAATGGTAGAAAATGCAGATTAATTTCGTGGAAAAGAACTAGGTGCGTTGCGAGTTGTTGTTTGCATTATGTAACCATTGGGAACCAGAAAGTTAACAAATCTTTGGTCTGAAATCGACGTTGTACTAGTGCTTGAACTGTTAAGACACTGATAACCAACCACTCCAGATGTGTACAACTTCTGTGTTAACAATGTTCATTAAGATGAGTTGATCTTATCGAAGACAGTGGTGCTGCAAGTACTCTTAGCTTTCAGTTAGAAACGAAGCATTTCTATGGATACAAGTAAATCAATCATTGATTAGGTGTTGGGGTGATCTCGCCATGCTTTTCAAACTTCAGCTTCACCCTTACAGATCTTAGAAACAAGTGATTGCCAGAACATTTGCTGAAATTTCGTTATAACAGTAACTTAATAGTTTAGCATGGATTCTTATTTATCTGACTGATTGAAAGCTGTATACTTCGCAACCCTTATTAACAGAATTTGATATCTAACGGATCATAGCTACTTTCACTAGAAATTAGACCAGCGTAATACAAGTGACACATTCCGACTGCATCCACGAATTCTTCGACAGGACCGAGGATGAGGACTCATCACCTCTCGAAATGCTTACGTACGAGCGCAGTTTTATAATTTCTCTCAGAGAAATCCTAATTAATGTCTTCACATAATGAAGGTGTCCACAAAATATGAGGCGTAATCAAATACCTGACACTGAAATCCAGTTAGCTGATACGATGAGTTCACTGAGGGGAACGGAAACCTCCAAATACTATCTTAATGATTCACGTTGACCTTAAGGTTCATAAAGAATCAGTGACATGCGGACCAACTTTGATTACTACCTACCATGAGATCGCAACTCTTGTTTCTAGTCTACCTTGTGGATTAGTTCTATACGTCATAAGTTCGGAGAGGGAGGTCCCCTGACAAAGACGTCTGTTTCAGTTTGGACTTCCTAGTAGCGTCTGAGCTCTTGTAAAAGTGAGGATAATTATGACTGTATCCCTTCGTGGTATTACCACTCCACTTTGTATATGGCACTTCTAGATGGACTGTTGTATCAAAATTTGTATGTAATCAGTTGGCAGTGTCCATAGGTATGGCATGCAGAGATCAATTGTGTTAGACACTTATGGAGGTGTGTGTTAATTACCAAACAAATCCAGAAGCGCTCACTTCCGTATGCTAGATTATAAAAGAACATTTGTTGATGCTACTTATTTATCCAGGTCAACAACTGTGATTTATAAACCTCTGATCAACCATCTAGTACAAACCATACGGAGTTATAGCTCTCACTAGGTGGGTCGATATATAATGCTTTGTATGATTCCTATTGTCGTACTAGTTGACAGGTAGTTTCACTGTGGGATATCAAGAAGATAAACACGAACTGGTTACAGTTTCAAATAGTATAAAACAATCATTCGGTATAGAAATCACAAAGATATTTATACACCGACACCTATAGGTCATCCCTTTATATTTTCCAATATCGTAGATAAACTAAAAACCAGATTAATCTACATACTATCCTTTCTTCCCACTAGATGAGCGCAATACTTTTTAAAGTCAAGGAATTTACAAAACAATCATTAGGCTAAATATTCTAAATATCTGTATGAAGCTTTCATTAGACAGAATGAATATGAATCCGTTTCCCACACCATTATCAAAAAAAGATACGTTGAAAATTTATTTACACTCAACGTGGAACAAAAACTGGTGAAACAAAAGATAAAAAAACTTGTTTGAAACGTTAGTAGAAATTAATAGACATTTCACATGGACATTACATTTTACTAACATCTTTGGGATAATAAATATGATACAATTGGGCGAAGAAATCATCAGTAATTTATATAGCATAACGGATGATAATATTTAGTATATGGGAATTTATACGAGTTAATCGTGAATGCATTAAATTGAAAAATATACTTTGTACAAAAGAAGTCATGATATTTTACAAGGTAAAAACAGCGATGTCTGTCGACTTCCCATCTGTATAAGGATATGGTCTTCCGTGAACCTTACATATATGTTCTACAGCTCGACGATAAGCTTTCGTTACCTGGTAAATATGTGCGAATTAAAGTTATATAGTATTTGAAAAAAGTGAAATCCAAACAATAACATTAGGTTTTGTAATCTAAATAGCAGTCTTTTCTAATTAACGCATAACGTATCCCGTAGGAAACTAACTCGCTAAAAAAAACGCTAAGCAGAAAAAATAATTCAAACAATTTAAACTCCACCCTGGGATTTAGCAGGTTTTCATTTAGAAGAGTTATGACACCATGGTGAAAGCCGAGTTCCTCCGGTAGTCACGAGGCTGATGCTCCTTCTGACAACCAGAGCAACCATTAATTTAGGTACATAGAATGCTCGTACAACGTGTGAGACCGGGGGAGTAGTCCAAATTGTTGCAGAAATGAATAGATGCAACCTGGAGGTGCTTGGAACTAGTGGAACACATTGGAATCAATATCATGAGTGTGTATCGGTTCAACATGGCAAACAAAATACCCCGTTTGGGTCCTACTCTCTTGCTATCATCTGTATTCTTTGTCCGTATGAGCCCAATATATGCAATTTCAACAATATATAAGTAGGGGGGAGTGTTCATGCATAATATGAAATTATTACGAATTCAGTGAAAATAACTCTTGAATAAATAAAGTGCAACCTATGACGAAAGATTTCTCAATTCAAAGTAGTGTTGTAGTTATATGCAGTATTGATCACAAGATTATTAGTCAGCCGCTGATAGACATTTACGATAACATCCGAAACATTGTACCAGCGTGATAAATCTCACCTATATATACCTTAAATTAATAAAAGTAAGTAAACATACTTCACTAGATCAGATCTTCTAAACAACGAACATACTATAAAAACTAGCTCAATCTGTCCCAACCAAGTAGCTAAGTGTTTGTAATCATACAAGGAATCGTAATGTTTGAAGAACCATGTAGTTAATTATAGTGATGATGTGCAGAATCTGAGAGCTAAGATACGAGAGGAGGAAATGAATTTTCACAAGACGATGCACTGCCGAAACAATATTAAAGGATTTAATGTGAACTCTACACAAAAATAGCTATTACGAACTGATCTATAGTGTGGTAAAAAGAAATTTATGTTTAAAAGCTATAAAAAAGATAATAAATCAACATAATGATATATTTGGAAAATATTATTCCGTTGTCTTAATTAGTTACAGTAATATCTACTGCTAACTTTTCAGTTATTTTGTGGATAATTATTTAGAACTGCGGTAATTAAGGTAATATACTATTTGACCGAGTTCTATAATGATTAATAAGTCGATTAAATGGCTTTTGAAATGACACTATATTTTGATAGTAAGAAGTTTGGGAAATCAAATGTTAAGCAACTCTTCAACAATACAGTCTATAACTATTCACAAGAGCACAGGCGAAGTTGCTTTGTTTTGTTCCAATAAGTGATCAGTGACTTTCACATAAGGTTGAACCATCACCATCTAAATGAATAAATTGTCCCAATCTACACACATTTCAGTGTGGACACTTCTTTTTCCCTTAATTAGAATTGGCTCACCTGTCGAACTTCATAATAATGTTCATAGAAGAAAATAAGTCATCACATAATACATACTCATTTCCGCGTTACGATTTAGAAATACTCATTAGTAGTTATTGTACTTTTGTTTTTTAATTGTTCCCTGAGTAAAACGTATTTCCTACCTCAAAAAAGATTATCGTATAATCTTTATTCAATACAACAGGAAACGATTTTGTTTTAAAGCTATTTTAATTACCGTATGCAGGTGAAACTGTAGAACATCTACAAAAATTACTGATTGACTAGGATTCCACTACAGATGCCCTGGTACGGCCGAGAGTGGGGAGAGTCCGCTCTCCCTCTCGAAATGACCTCACATGGCCACGCGTATACAGCCCCTGCCAGGGAAGTTCTACTCACTGCCTTCACGTGGCGGGGGTGTTGTTTACGAAATTGAGAGGACGAAAAGCGAATGTCCGGCGCTTTAACCGGACCCCAAACCAATGGTGCACATGGGCTCCAGTATCCTGAAGGAACAAATGGCGTATGAACCAATCGTTGGTCACCGGCTACCCTGGGACTGCATCTCCTCACGATGCTCCACTGCCTTGTGGATCAGATCTTCAGGTCAAACGCTCAGGGTGTGGCCCCCTAAGAAAACCACCTGCTTCGGTTTGGGCACCCGAGGAGTATCACAGCCCTCACACAAATCAATTGAGATTCGTGTGGCGCATATGTATTTGGTGCCTCCTTGAACCAATACCTATGTGTTAAAATAAATAAATAAATAAACAGGCGAAGTTACTTTTTATTTCCAGCTACAACATATGCATCTTTTGTTTATCATTAAATTACCATGTTATGTAACGTAGATATATTTAGACAATCTTTACTTTCAGTTTGAAATAAGTAAACCAACCTAGAAATTTATTCGTAATTTATTAACATTATGACAACTACTATTAACTTACCGAATGCTTCATTTTACTTTTCCTTCCTTCTCGTAGTCTTTCATAATCGAGTTCTTTATTAATTCCAAGAGGTTGAAGTTTCTGAGGACTAAGCCATTGCCATGTACGCTTTGTATCAAAGAAGAGAACTAATAAAAGTTCTAAATCATCAGTGGATTTATTAGAGGCTATTCGTTTGCCCCATTTTAACACTGACTCCGGAGGTAGGGGGATAGGAACACCATTGTGAGAATAACCCTCATTAGCATCTGGATCTACAATCTGTTATTTAAAGAAAAAAGTGTTCAAGCATTGAAAATAACGGTCATGATTTACATTTACTGGTGTGTGTTAGTATTCAATGAAACAAAATAACATTTAATTGACTCAATTTGAGAAGTCATTAAGACCTGTTGATAAAATACAACATAAAAACTTGTATGACAAACATGTGACCTAATTACATACAAAGTTATCAAAATGACCTTTGAGTTAAATTGAGCATGATAGTTAAATTAGGTTCACCAAAGTTTCCTCTTTGAAAAATCCGACAACTACACTGTTTTACCTTAAGGATGTAACTAAAGTTACTTTTCAAACATGAGAAGTGATTTGGTAGTCAAAGCAATGGACTTCGAACCAGTGGATTTGGACGTTTGAATTCCACCCCATCAATTTCAGTTCGCATATTCATCTCGCAAAAGGAGTGGCTCAAAATCAAGCATATGGAATTGTTATAAGTCACCGAACTACTAATCTTTAAAGCTGATTGAGTTTCGAAAACCTATCTATCTAGTTAAGTAACTGACATCGCACAATTTAATGCTCGGAACTGAATCTTGATGTAAGTTAATCGGAGATGCACCTTGTAGTACAATAAATAAGAGACCTCTATTTTTACCTTTATATATTTTTTTAACAAGCACCAGTTATAAGTTATAATGTAGACACTACTCACATTTTGATTACTGTAGTTTAACTAACAAAAGCATAGACATTATTCTCAAAACACAGTAATCATATAAACTTTTGAATATGAATTCAATAAAAACGGCAGGCTACTAACTATAAACACTTGAGTAAAATGCAAATAAGAACGAGGTTATAAACCGAAGGCTTTTTCTCAGATAAATATAATTTCGTTAATAATGATGTCTTCGTATGAATAAAATAAATAGTAACCATAATTGGATAGTTGGTTACAAAAATATAAGTTCAAAAAACTGTTCAACTTACTATTGCTGGGTACCATGGTGATCCCAAACATTTGGCCCAAACGATATCTAAAGGACTAAACTGATGCTCCGTAAATATATCCTCTCCGACACTACCTCGAGAAGAGACACGAGATAAGGGACTTCTGAGTGGTTTAGAATTACTAGTATAAGATGTCTCAATATTGGAAGAAACAGACAATGAGTCTGTTATGCAGTTAGCTTTTGTATCAAATTCATTATTCAACGGTAAGTCAATATGATCTGATCTGTTAACTGATTCAAAATTAATGTTCACAACATCATGATCTCGTCGGATATTATTTGATTTGATAATGCCAGTTTTTGGTAGAAACTTTGTGAACAATGTATCAAAATCTGATGTCATATGAGAATCATTGGAAGGAACCAATATCGGTGACGGTATATTCAGTTCAGTATTGTGAAGCTTATTCTTAGCAGCAAATTTACTAAGTGATGATGACCGTCTTTTGTGTTTATATTTTCTAATATTAATAGAAGTCTGTTTTGTCTTGAACCGATAAGCGGATTTCTAAAAACAAAATACATTTTATTATACAAAAATATGTATCAGAAAATTTTTAATAGCATATTAAACCGACCCATAAGAAAGAAACCCAGATAATTTAACACGGAGCTTTTCTAAAAGAATTATTTAAAATCATAAAATGAACACATGTCGGGTTTCAACAGAGTGAGTCGTACTGATGAATGACATCTAAATGTACAAGGTCGTGACTATAAGACTGTGGTATGGCATAATAAAAACGTATAGTGTTTAACAACTCCGCCTGGAGTCCCTTTCCGGGGGCTACTGCCGGTCCCAAGCCCGGATACAGGAGGAGGGTTGGGCATGGGGTTAGCGACCCCATTCCGTAGAAAACTAACTCGCTAAAAAAACGCTAACCAGAAAAAATTATTCAAACCATTTAAACTCTGCCCTAGGAGTCAGGAGGTCTTCGTTTAGAAGAATTATGACGCCTCATGATGAAAGCCGAGTTTCTTCGGAAGTCACGAGGCCGATGCCCCTTCTGACAACCAGAGCAACCATTTATTTAGGTACATGGAATGCTCGCACAATGTGGGAGACTGGGAGAGTTTTCCAAATTGCTGCAGAAATGAGGAGATACAATTTAGAGGTGCTTGGGATCAGTGAAACACATTGGACGCAAGTTGGACAACAACGACTAGCTTCAGGGGAGCTGCTGTTATACTCCGGACATGAACAAGAAAATGCTCCACATACACAAGGAGTTGCATTGATGCTGTCCAAACAAGCACAAAATGCACTTATAGGATGGGAATCTCATGGACCAAGGATCATCAAAGCCTCCTTCAAAACAAAGAAAGAGGGCATTACAATGAACGTCATCCAATGCTACGCGCCTACCAATGACTACAATGAAGACGCTAAAGATCAATTCTACGATAGGCTGCAGTCAATCGTCGAAAAGTGCCCAACAAAAGACCTGACTATTCTGATGGGAGACCTAAATGCCAAGGTTGGAATTGACAACACCGGATATGAAGAGATCATGGGACGACACGGACTGGGAGAAAGGAACGAAAATTGTGAGAGATTAGCAAATCTATGTGCCTTCAATAAACTGGTTATAGGCGGGACTATATTCCCACATAAACGCATACACAAAACCACATGGACTTCACCGGATCACAGCACACAGAACCAAATCGACCATATCTGCATCAACAAAAAGTTCAGGAGGACGTGAGAACAAAGAGAGGAGCTGATATAGCATCAGATCATCACTTGCTGGTCGCCAAGATGAAATTGAAACTCAAGAGGCACTGGACAACGGGGAGGACAATATCACAAAAATTTAATACGGCTCTTCTTCGGGATAATGACAAACTCAATAAATTCAAGATAACCCTCAGCAATAAGTTCCAAGCCTTTCATGATCTACTCAATGGAGAAGGAACTACTATGGAGAGCAACTGGAAAGAGATAAAAGAGGCAATCACTTCAACATGTCATGAGGTTCTGGGCCAAAAGAAGCACCATCACAAGGATTGGATCACGGTCGATACACTGGATAAGATTCAAGAAAGGAGGAACAAAAAGGCAGCAACCAATACCAGCCGAACAAGAGCAGAAAAGCCAAGGCACAAGCTGAATATATAGAAGTAAACAAGCAAGTGAAAAGGAGCATCAGAACCGACAAACGTAAATATGTGGAAGATTTGGCAATGACGGCGGAAAAGGCTGCCAGAGAAGGAAACATGAGACAACTGTATGAAACAACAAAGAAACTCTCTGGAAATCACCGTAAACCAGAACGACCAGTGAAAAGCAAGGAAGGCAAGATAATCACCAACATTGAAGAACAACGAAACAGGTGGGTAGAACACTTCAAAGAACTCTTGAATCGACCAGCCCCACTGAACCCACCCAACATCGAAGCAGCTCTCACGGACCTCCCAATTGATGTTGGCGCACCGACAATTGAAGAAATCAGCATGGCTATCAGACAAATCAAGAGTGGCAAAGCAGCAGGACTAGACAGCATTCCAGCAGAGGCACTGAAAGCAGACGTAGCGGCAACTGCAAGGATACTCCAAACTCTCTTCAAAAAGATCTGGGATGAGGAACAGGTACCAAAAGACTGGAAAGAAGGACTTCTAGTCAAAATACCAAAGAAAGGCGATCTCAGCAACTGTGACAACTACAGGGGAATCACTCTTCTTTCAATACCAGGAAGAGTCTTCAACAGGGTATTGTTAAACAGGATGAAGGACCCCGTAGACGCCCAAATTCGCGACCAACAGGCAGGATTCCGTAAGGATAGATCGTGCACAGACCAAATCGCAACTCTACGGATCATTGTGGAACAATCAATTGAATGGAATTCATCACTCTATATCAACTTCATCGACTACGAAAAAGCATTTGATAGCGTGGACAGAACAACACTATGGAAGCTTCTTCGACACTACGGCGTGCCTCAGAAGATAGTCAATATCATACAGAATTCCTATGATGGATTAAATTGCAAGATCGTTCATGGAGGACAGTTGACAAAGTCGTTCGAAGTAAAGATCGGTGTCAGGCAAGGTTGCTTACTCTCACCCTTTCTCTTTCTCCTGGTGATCGACTGGATCATGAAGACATCAACATCTGAAGGGAAGCACGGGATACAGTGGATAGCTAGGATACAGTTGGATGATCTAGACTTTGCAGATGATCTGGCTCTTCTATCGCACACACAACAACAAATGCAGGAGAAGACAACCAGTGTAGCTGCAGCCTCAGCAGCAATAGGTCTCAATATACACAAAGGGAAAAGCAAGATTCTTCGATACAACACAACATGTACCAATCCAATCACAATTGACGGAGAAGCTTTGGAAGATGTAAAAACCTTTACATATTTGGGCAGTATCATCGATGAACACGGTGGATCTGATGCAGATGTGAAGGCACGGATTGGCAATGCAAGAGCAGCATATTTACAACTGAAGAACATCTGGAAATCGAAACAACTGTCAACTAACACCAAAGTCAGGATTTTCATTACAAATGTGAAGACAGTTCTACTGTATGGGACACAAACTTGGACAACTACGAAAGCCATCATCCAGAAGATACAGGTGTTTATTAACAGTTGTCTACGTGAAATACTTTAGATCCGTTGGCCGGACACTATCAGCAACAACCTACTATGGGAGAGAACAAACCAGATCCCATTTGAGGAAGAAATCAGGAAGAAGCGCTGGAAGTGGATAGGACACACATTAAGGAAAGCACCGAACTGCGTCACAAGACAAGCCCTCATATGGAACCCTCAAGGTCGAAGGAAGAGAGGAAGACCAAAGAATACATTACGCCGAGAAATGGAGATAGATATGAGAAAAATGAACAAGAATTGGATGGAACTTGAAAAGAAGGCCCAGGACAGAGTGGGTTGGAGAATGCTGGTCGGCGGCCTATGCTCCATTGGGAGTAACAGGCTACCACCAGTGAGTTTTATGAAAATATTATGTTATTGATAAATTATGCCTACAAATACCTTTAGGAAAAAAATCAGACCTCCCCAATAATTATGTTTCTACTGAGCAAAGATTTTATCTTCTTTGACAAATGTTTTCCATAAATTAGTTGAACAGAACCAAGTTCTAGATATACTTACCAAAAAGGCATGTCTTTAAAAAGTCTATTATCACGTTAGAAAGTTGATTCACAATACACTTCAAATGATTTCATTAATTTTTCTGGCTTAACAGCGACACTCTAGGTAGGGTTGAGGTAATTTTTCATACCTGATTGGTTCTTTGCTTCATGACATTATGGAAGCAAATGTTCAAGAAAAGTACTATAGTAGTGTAAACCTATCTATAAGCAGAAAAACTTCCTAATTGTGGATACACCAACGATGGATATAACAATTCATCAATCGTTGATTAGTGTTATTGACTATTAGATCAGGAAAATACGTTCACAAGACTGACACGGTCTTATCCTAAGTGACCAATCAATTCATTAAGACATTTGGAATAGTGATGGAGTTTGATTGTTTTGAAGTTATATATATATATATATATATATATATATATATATATATATATATATATATATATATATATATATATATATATATATATATATATATAACCCTTAACAAGTCAAGAATATTTGATGCCAGATACGTTTGAAATATACCTAATGCCAATGTCTTAATAAGGTATTACTAGAATTAAATAATTTGTAGCACCTAATTGGAGTACATTTTAGAGAGGAACTAAAACTATTTTTGAAAGATGCGAAACATTAATATAATTCAACAAGAGTTCGATATAAATCTTTTTAAAACTTACTAAGCGACTGACAGGAGAACGTTTATTAGCAAAAGCCATTCGACTTGTACCAATCAATGTAGTTGTTCTATCCACAATAGTGGATTTTTTATTAATCTCAACTTCAGGATCTTGTTTCGAACGTTGCTGTTGGTAGTGTCTACAGACAGAACGATCAGAATCATGACTAGGATTAGGAGTTGAAGAGTTCGTATTCGGATAAACAATACATCCATCATCACTTTCATCTTCATCTGTCTCTTCACTATCATCTTCGTCATCCTCATCATCACCGCGTGATAAACGACCGATTCGATAACGTGTAAATGCAGGTCCATTACTTAAAGATATTAGTCCATTCATTTCATTTGTAGACCGAGCGACTTGACGAATTTGCAAACAATTGGAATCGTTAACTGATAAAAGATTAGAAGGATTCCATTTACAATTGGTAGACTCGTTGTTCCCAGGCGATTTGATGAGGTTTTCAAAGCAATTCGCTGAATTAGTGTAGGCTTGGGCAAATGCATTTCCAGGAGAATGTGACTGTAGTCGAGCTAGTTTTGAAGGTTTTCGACAGTCTCCATTGTGTAAAGTAGGAGGAAGATGAAGTTCTCGGTCTCCATTAGTTGATGAAAGACTAAAGAAGACAAAAAGTAGAAACGTAAGTCCATTTATTGATTAAATATTCATTAGTATATCTATTATAGCTTTGTTTGGCAGATTTAGGAAGGTAAATGAGGATGACAATCAAAGTTCCTGTCAAATCAGAGGGGTCATTGGGTTTAAACAAGTAGTCTTTCAATTGCATCAGGTATCTATTATGTCTGTCACTTTTAAGTCTTCCATGATCCAGCATTCATGAACACTTTACTCGAACAGTTTTAAAATCAAAACATGACTTAGAGAGAAATTTAAATATATTTTGAAGCAAACAGCAAAGTTATTTAGTTACGTATAAATTAAAATGATTATAATTTATACATGGAGTAATCGTCAATGAATACAAATCACAAGTGCATTAATTAATACGATGGAGATACATTGAATTTTAAAACCGATTTCTTAATAAATGCAATATTTAGGGATTCTATATCCTCAAAAGTGTCATACCAGTTAGGGTACTTAAACTCTAATCTAGTTGACAGTACAGGGGTTGTGGAGTTTATTGAATATTATTAAGGTTACGAACCGACCTAATTTAAACAAACGTCAAAAATCTGATAGTGGACATTCATTTTGTCCTAGTATGGGACGTCTCAGAAGCGCGCATCAAAGATCCCACCACATGCTATCGAATCCAGTACCTTCCATCTTGCACGCGAAATGCTAACTTCTATACCACTGAGAAGATATCCAAAGGTCTATACGTTCAAATACAATCAATTCTCGACAATGTACTACGACCTACTGTTGCCAAGGAGTGGATAATTGTGACACACTCGACAAGGTCGGACTTGCCTGGTTATAGCTCCTTTCCTCTCAAAGCTAGACGCTAGTGAAGAACTCCAATACTAGGACGAAACAGCTGAGTAGTGCTTTTAGGTGTTTAATAGTTATCTAAAATAAATAGGTTCGTGATCTCAATAACATTTAAACCTAGTCACCATTCAAATTGTGAATTCGCTTTAATGATGATTTCTATCTAACTGCTTGGGTTAAAAATCGTGCTAACCAGACTTCGGCATCTGTTTTCACTTAAGAAAAGATTCCGCATTATTTCATACAGAAAAACAGTTCAGTTGTTTTTGAATTGTATCCAGAAATTTACTTGTTGATAGAGTGAAGACAAATATCTATATTAGTACAAATTTCGGTATTTGATAAAGATAAGGAGAAGTAAACTCCGGACCAACAAATTAAATGCGGCTTCTTGTGAACAATAAAAACTCTTCGATCACGCACGGATAATTTCAATATTATCTGAGAAACATATGTTCAATATTTCTGTCCTATTAATTACAGTTCACTAATGTAGATTCCAATATATTTTGTAAGAATAGTCGACAATTAGCGTGATCCATCAACAGAAATATAAAGGCATTCTGTACAGATTTATGCATAAGCTGTATGCAACATTTGTTATGCAATAATTAATGAGAATATGTAAAAAATGGGCAACTTTAGACTAAATATTTGAGAATTCACCAATAAATGACAATTTGACTTTTGAACAAAAAAACAATACATAATTCACAATAACATTACTGAAGTTTTATGCCATCCGAAAAGTTAACGCATTTCCCAGCTGAAATTAACAGTCACGTTTCTAATGTTCATGTGGTATACCACTTCCGACCATTTTGTTGCTTTATGGGTGAGCGCTGCATACTGGAGTGTAATTCTCACTAAAGATTTCATTTCAAGTGCGTAGCGGAAGACACAACTGTCCGATATGAGCATGTCAGACTGGCGTAGCACGACACGCAAGATGAAAAGACAAATATAATGAAAATTAAAGCTTGAAATGTAACTTCTGATGAGAATTATTCTATAATACATACCATTCAACGAATTTATGAAGGGGAATATAGACGAAGGTCAGTCAGGCATCTACAACGTAGGACCAGGCACATATATGCCATACCTCATTTCATTAGCACAAGATAAATACCAAATCCATAGAAGCAGCTAATTCAATGGTAGTAATATGTAAAAGAAGATTGCATATAAGGATATAATACAGAAAGAAAGGTATCAAGTGATTTTAACCACGTCGCCGAAGGTGCTGGAAATAACATGCCACTTGAACGTTGAAAAGGTGACAGTCAACTTCAACTGCATCTCTCTTTTTTTGCCGATCAAATGACAAAACTATGATATTAATTTGTTTTAAAAGAGTTAATTTAACCGTTACGTTGCAAAAAATCAAATATTAAATAATTGACTACTGTAATTAGTTGTATATATATTAACTGAAGTAAGTAAGTAAAAAAACACAACTAAATTCAACATACCGGCGTTTTCTAGGTAAAACAGATGAGTCCACTATTGTATTAGTAGTAGTACCATTAATAGTAGTAGTAGAAGTAGTAGCATTATTTGGTGAAGAAAATTCAAAATTTCCATTTGTAGTGAAAGAAATAGGTGATTGATTTGGTTTTGTTGGTGAATGAAAACTTCTTAGTCGACTTCGTATACTACTAGGGACCGATGAATTTCGATCACAATTAATCAATTCTTTTAAAGGACTATGAACTCGTTGTTCATTCGTTGTTAATGAACATTTAGAAGGTTTTCGTGTGGTCGATAAATGGAGTAATACTGGAGAATTCGTCGGATTTTCTCTATAATTATAGCTTGCATTTAATGAGTTCACTGATTGTATACAATTTTCATTCGTTTTGGATGAATTTTCAATATTATCCTGATGAGATGATTGTTCATTAGTTTCTGTTTTAATTTGCACATTTTCTAGAAGAAGTCCAGTTTTAGGGCAGAAATTGATTTGTTTCGCTATTGTTAAGGCTTCAGATATGATAGGTTTACTCTTTAGAAAAACAAATACAGAACAGAATACATTTGTAGTGTAATTTACTGTTTCGCTTTTTAGGAAACATTAGAGTTCAGTTTCATTTACTTACCAAGTACAGATCTGTGAACCTGGGGCTTTAAGCCACACATTATGTGAAGAATAGTGATACTGTTTAGGTGCCTAAGCTAAAGCAGATGGAGAAAGACTCGAACCTCCGATCTAGTGATTGAAAATCAGTTATTCAAAGTCTCTGACCATTGGTTACGACAATCACAGGGATTCCAATCAGATAGTCTGTACCTACTGACCGTGGTTCAGTTTAACAGTCAATGACTTCATGGACTAATACCATGTTTGTCTTGGCCGTTCCTACCGTTCTTCTGGCTTATTACTAAACTATCATCGCCTATCGGTGTAGACAGTGGTTGGGTATAAGTAATACATGTCCTGACAACCTCAGTAGGTGGGGATTCAACACCTCATCAATCGATTGTTCAAGTTTACCTAATACCCTGTGTTTAACACCAGTAGCGTTCATTTAGTGGTCCCAATGTTCATGACCAATACTCCGAAGGGATAAGAGGAATACAAAAATCTTTGGAAAAAACAGATTATCTCTTCAATTTTGAAAAGGATACACTTGAAACAGTAGCAAGGCTAGATATATAAGTAGAACAGGAGGTTGGTATACATATACACCCTGCAACATGATTGTAACCGCAAAATACTAAGAAGTGCTAAAATACAACCGAACATCAATTTACTTCTCTAACTTTTTTCCTAATAATATTAATTTGTAATTAATTTATGCTCGAAATAAAGACTGAAACCAACAGAACTTGTCAAATAAATATCAACGTGAAAATAAAATTCAAAGCTTTCAACTTTTCCTCATATTGATAAGTCAGTTTCTTAAAATAGGAATTCAATTAATTAACACAGATTATTTCTTGCCCCCAAATGCCCTGGTACGGCCGAGAATGGGAAGAGTCAGCACTCTCTCTCGAAATGCTCTCACATAACCACGTGCATACAACCACTGCCAGGGGATTCGTACTCACTACCTTTTCGGGGCCGGGTTGTTGCTTACGAAATTGAGAGGACGAAAAGTGAATATCCAGAGCTTTAACTAGGTTGGTGGACACGGAGAGTCCACCTAGAGGAGTTGGAAAACCATGATTCCAAATCAATGGTGCACATGGGCTCCAGTATCCTGAAGGAACGAATGGTGCATAGACCAATCGTTGGTCACCTGCTACCATGGAACTGCATCTCCTGACGTTGCCCCACTGCCTTGTGGATTAGACCTTTAGGTCAAAGGTTTGAGGTGTGGCCCCCAAAGAAAACCACCTGCTTCGGTTTGGGCACCCGGGTAGTATTCCAGCCCTCACACAAATCGAATGATTTATGTGCTGCACATCTATTTGGTGCTTTCTTGTACCTATGTTTATGTGTTTAAATAAATAATTTTATAGATGTACAACTTACTCGTTCACGTAGTTTCGTAGCAGCAGTATAATAGACGCTTGTTTCACGATTATATTCAAAACAATTTTCTAACATTAAATTAAAATCTGATAATAATTCATTTATAGTACAATATTCGAAATTTTCAACTTTTTTACGCATTGTAGAAAAATCCATTGGCTTTTTAATAATTAATGAATAATCTGGTGCTAGACTTGGTTCAACAGGTTCAGCGAAAAATTGATTTGTATCTAAAGCCTATTTTAAATAGATGAATAATAATAATAATAATAGTAATAATAATAATAATAGGGAATTATTACTCTCAATCAAATTGACTATAATGATAAAAACGAGTCATTTTTGGTAGGGTTAGATGATGGAAGTGATAATACTTAGGAGTGGATGATATCGGTAATTCAGTAGTTAACTGGGTGAGACTATAATTTATGGATGACCTTTGAGCGACGCTAAAGAGGCTTTGAGAATGTCCGCCTACATACTACGACTAAATGAGGGTTATAAACCAGCGTGAGGAATTAGGATTAATATTTACAGTTGATAGTTAGGGTTAGGAATCAGATATAGGGTTTTCATCATGAAATGATATCAGCCATAATGCCAAAATTATAATTAAATGGATGAGTGAATTTCGCGTCAAAATTCAGGACCTGTTATCTTAAATCTGGTGGATTCGTCCATAAATTATAGTCTTGCCGTTAACTGGATAACGTGCTATCGATTTAGAATTGATAAGTTATGATCGAATAAGCATAAGAATACTGAAATCTAGGTTTATCCAGTCGACAGCCCCTAGACAGAATGATACGAATATTCTAGACTTCAATGAGAACCCGTATCCTTAAACATATATGAGATTATGATTATTGCCAAGACAATTCAATATATATTTCAAGAAATTTTGATTAAAAATACATATGTTTAGATCAATTAAAAACATAGAGCAATGAATCAATAGAAGTTATTTAGACTTCAACAAAATTCGAAATTTTCATTCAAACAATTCATACAAAATTGTTGTATTAATAACCAAATTTGTAGAACATATTTTTTCCCTAGAAATTAAGAAACTCTGAAATTTATTACAGGAGGATAGATATATTACTAAATGATTGAAAAATTTCAATTATGCAAAGATATTTTTTAAAATAATTCTATAGATGAGTTTTTTTTCTTCAAAAATATCATCACGATTGATAAAACTTGGTCATACATTAAAATGGAATAATGTAAAGTTAATTATTCATAAATCAGAAGGGGTTTTGTGGAGATTTTAGAAATTTCACTAGTTGAAATCATGAGTCAATTGAAGCTAGACCACCATGGAAAACCTGGAAGCACTGAACGGCCGTCCCGTAGTAGTATGAGACTTCTCAGCAGTGCGCATTTACGATCGCGTCCCCCGCGAGATTTGAGGTTAGACATTAACATCGTTGGATACTGACTCACTGGTCTGATGGTTAAGCGCTCACGCGCGAGACTAATAGGTCCTGGGTTCGAATCCCACGGGAGACGGGATCATGGATGCGCACTGCTGAGAACTCCCATACTGGGACGAAACAGCCGTCCAGTGCTTCTAGGTTTTCCATGGTGGTCTAGCTTCGATTGACTCATGATTTCAACTATTCATAAATCGATGAATATACAAATTAGTATACAATTCTACAAATATAAACAAAAAGAGAAGATTTACAAATTGAAAAACTTAAAACACACATTTATATAAACAGAAGAATATTACTTCTGAATAAATTCACATTAGTTTTTTTAAAAGTTCGAATTGATGACCTTAAAAAAGTATGCCAAATATGAAGTGAATATATATATATATATATATATATATATATATATATATATATGAATTTTAGATTGTTAGCATAATAAGTTTATAAGCATTTATAAATGTTGTAGTGATTAATTGAATCTGGTTATAGATAACAATAAAACTGTGAGAACGGGAAAATATGTTCCTAAAATATAAGTTCTCGGATAAATGAATAAAAAACTATAGGACTTAGTGATACAGAGTGGTACAAACATATAAAATTTTATAAAAACAGGTATGATTTAGGGACAAAAGTAGTAATTTGGGCAGACTCACAATGGTTCCAGAGCTTAACTCGTTTATGATTAACTAGTTAATAATCTATGTGCATTAATCAATGTTAATCTGGTCATATGTAATTTTAATAACAAATACAGAATAATATAACTGAGAAGTGAACTTTTTAAGCAAGTTATATTATTTCTATGAGGATTTTTACATTACAGATATTTTTGTGATTTATTAACGCATAGATTACCAGTTGGTTAATAATAGTACTTATTATCCACGGGCTGTAATCGAATTATTTAGAGTAGGTTTAATGTTTTGATTAAAAATTAAATAACTGAATACCTAAATCACTAAGTAAAAAAATGCAAATATTCTACATAAATTCGATATATTGGGCTGTAAATTACATCTACTTTCTGTGTAAATGCATGTGTAACAAAATAACACTAGGATACAAATGAGTTGGCAAAAGTAACTGCGATGTAACTTGTAGCCTATTGACTAAAATAAAATGAATAACCAATTCAAACCAAAAGACTCCTAGAAACACTGATGTTAGTATAGGCGAATGAAGTGATGTGCCGTTAGGTAGATGGAGGCGATTGATGGAAAACCCTAAACATAATCTTTGTGCTAATTAGCATTCTTAGGTAATATACATTGGCAGACTTGAGATAACTAATGCAAGTGATCATATTGTAACGTGATCGACAAAATTTTATCATGATTAAAGACTAGACAAGAATTACATAGTTTATTATTTAATGACCATCCAATGTAATAAAAGTGAATTATAATTTTTTGATTGAGATCATGAATCGACTGATGTTAGACCACCGTTGGAAACCTGGAAGCGCGAGACTGAAGGCCCTGGGTTCGAATCCCGCGAGCGGGATCGTGGATGCGCATAGTGCTTCCAGGTTTCCAACGGTGATCTAACATCAGTCGATTCATGATCTCAATCAAAAGCTTAATAATCTCCACAACCCCAATACTGATAATTAACATGTGCTCACTAGTGACTAGCTTCGTGAGCGAATTCTCGGAGTTCTAGTGGGAAGCCGTGACCAGTGGAGCTAATCCGTGTCGGGTAGAGACAGGTATCTACCTCAGTACAATGGAAGATGGTCGCGCAATTTCGTGGATTGGTTGATGTTAGACACTAACACCATTGGATGCCGGCTCAGTGGTCGAGTAGGTTAAGCGTTCGCGCGCGAGACTGAAGGCCCTGGGTTCGAATCCCGCGAGCGGGATCGTGGATGCGCATTTAGTGCTTCCAGGTTTTCAACGGTGGTCTAACATCAGTCGATTCATGATCTCAATCAAAAGCTTAATAATCTCCACAACCCTAATACTGTGAATTATAATTATTGAAAAAGTGAAAAAAAGATGTCTTCCTGTCTTTTATCGTTTTGAAGTGAATAGTAATGTAAAATTACAACTGAATAAATGCAAACTTAACAAAACATTTTTGAAACATAATTTGCAAACTCAAAGGTTTTGAATAAGTTATACGCCTAAGTCTTGTTTGTAACATATTGAATTGTAAGAATAACAGAACGGTATAAAATATTATCACGAATTTGATTGTAGAAAATAGATGAACAAAAGATATGCATACGTGGTTTACCATTCATAAAAAGGGAATGTAATTCAGTAGTACATATATATGATATATCCACCGATTGCGTAATAGACAATAATAACTTCATATGACTGTATCATGTCTAACTCCTTTCTACGCAAAAAATGGAATCCTATGCTCCAAGAGGTAGTTTTACAAAATGGTCAACTGGATGCAGTTTTGTTCTAAATACCTCCTCTCTACAGAAGTTTATCCTCTATATTTCAAATGAAAGCATCTAAAGCATAAAAAAGCTACTACTTAACTAATAACAGACAATGACCATAACAACTAACTTAAACTACATTGAAAAAAATTAATCCAGATTAGCAGCTAAAAATAAAATAGGCGAAATGAATTCAAACACCTAAAACATATACATACAACATTCTTACTTGAAGTTGGTCTATAAATCGTAACTGAAATACAACAAGTGGTTTGATTTTCAACTCAATTTCAGTCACAAATAGACGAAATATATCACGTTTAATACGTTCACGTTTACGTATAAGTTCAGATAATAGTCGTCCTCTTTCAAGATCTTGACGTAGTTGTTGCCAGAATTTCAAATGAGCTCTCATTCGATGCGATTCTGCATCTCCAGTTGTAGCCGCCACAGCCTATAAATGAAAAAAGAATAATGTAAAACATAAGGATTTATTTATTTGAACACATAACGATAATTTTTTTGAGAAGCTACCAGATCTAGGTCGAATTAAATGGTATAAAATTTTCAAATGATAAACTACAGAAAAGTGTAAAACTAACTATTGTATTTTATTGTAACGATCAGTTGGCGGTAGTCGACAAGAAACCCTAGACCATAGGTTTTGTGCTGTTTAACACTTGTCAGAAAGGTGGGCCTGTAATCTTTAGGGAACTGATGCAACCTGGAGAATTGGATCCCGTGTCACCCAGCTTCACAGTCAGAGGCGTTACCATTAAGATATTCGAGCAGTAACTGACCTGTGGTACAAGAGATGTATTTACAATCGACTGGTTACTGAGTAGTGACCAATTTGTCACTAGCAGTAATCTTTAACACATCTTTTGTATTGACACTTTACAGTAAAATGACCGTTAAGATTTATAGTGGGATCCAAGTATATTGAAGGGTTATCTTTGTAGAAAGATATTAGGAATATATCAGAAATATACAATAAAAGACCATTATCTACACTTTAACAGTTCTGTACATGAAGTCACAAAAAAGCCTAATCAAAACTTTTTCTATGGATGCCAAGTAGAGAAACCTATTTCAAAATATCTACCTTCCAGAGACATCTGTGTACCGACAGTTGGTCAAGCAAATAAATAAATGACCGAAATAATGAAACGAAGTATACTTGAGTAAAACAATATCTTTTTTAAAATTAATCATAAAAATGAGGAAATTTTGAACAGAATCAAACACAAACTAAGTGATTTACTGAGAGGAGCTAGTCGCTAACTGCTTATTTTCAACTGTATTGCTTATATCACACATATTAATTAACAGACAAATAATTTTAATTTAAGCTCTTAGCACATTTTGGGAAAATATGCAATTAAGAACCATAAACATATCTTCGGAAACACGATTCCTAATCCCAGATTACGAACTACCTGGATCTATATGAAATGTATCTGTCTAATAATTTAGAATTATGTTATAACTCTTTAATCACCCTTTCAACTTCTAATATTATTTCCAGAGATAGTATACTCCTCTTACTATTTTCTAGCATTCATGTAGTTCAAGATGTTGTTCTCTATTTCTAAAAATCTATCCCTATCAGTTACACAGTTTTTCTTATTTCTAATGTTTATGATATCATCCTATTAATTTGCGAATCTGTAGCTCAGCGATCTATGTGTATTTAACTTTCAAGCATTAGATATAAGGTTTGGTTCTTCTTCACTTTAATTATTTCAGTTATCAGACGATATTATATAAGAAATCTAACTTAAGGTATATTAAACAAGTCAAGAATAGGTAGCTGAATCGTATTTTATAATAAAAATATGGTGATGTAAAAAGCTAATATTATAAGTGTGAGTACAGTCACTAACTCCGCCTGGAGCCCCTCTGAAGCTGCTGCCGGTCCCAAGCCCGGATAAAGGAGGAGGGTTGGGCATGGGGTTAGCGACCCCATCCCGTAGAAAACTAGCTCACTAAAAAACATTAACCAGAAAAATTATTCAAACCATTTAAACTCTGCCCTGGGAGTCAGGAGGTCTTCGTTTAGAAGAATTATGACGTCTCATGATGAAAGCCGAGTTCCTTCGGAAATCACGAGGCTGATGCCACTTCTGACAACAACAGTAACCATCTATTTGGGTACATGGAATGCTCGTACAATGTGGGAGAGCCTTCCAAATTGCTGCAGAAATGAGGAGATACAACCTAGAGGTGCTTGAGATCAGTGAAACACATCGGACGCAAGTTGGACAACAACGACTAGCTTCAGGGGAGCTGCTGTTATACTCCGGACATGAAGAAAAAACGCCCCACATACACAAGGAGTTGCACTGATGCTATCAAAACGAGCAAAAATGCACTTATTGGATGCGAATTTCATGGACCAAGGATCATCAAAGCCTCCTTCAAAACAAAGAAAGAGGGCATTTCAATGAACGTCATCCAATGCTGTGCGCCTACCAACGACTACAATGAAGACGCCAAGGATCAATTCTACGATAGGCTGCAGTCAATCGTCAAGAAGTGCCAACGAAGGACCTGATCATTCTGATGGGAGACCTAAATGCCAAGGTTGGAATTGACAACACCGGATATGAAGAGATCATGGGACGACACGGACTAGGAGAAAGGACGTGAGAACCAAGAGAGGAGCTGATATAGCATCAGATCATCACTTGCTGGTCGCCAAGACGAAATTGAAACTCAAGAAGCACTGGACAACGGGGCGGACAATATCACAAAATTTTAATACGTCTCTTCTTCAGGATAATGAGAAACTCAACAAATCCAACATAACCCTCAGCAATAAGTTCCAGGCCTTTCATGATCTACTCAATGGAGAAGGAACTACTATGGAGAGCAACTGGAAAGAGATAAAAGAGGCAATCACTTCAACATGTCATGAAGTTCTGGGACAAAATAAGCAACATCACAAGGATCGGATCACGGTCGATACACTGGATAAGATTCAAGAAAGGAGGAACAAAAAGGCAGCAACCAATACCAGCCGAACAAGAGCAGAAAAGCCAAGGCACAAGCTGAATATATAGAAGTAAACAAGCAAGTGAAGAGGAGCATCAGACAAACGTAAATATATGGAGGATTTAGCAATGACGGCGGAAAAGGCTGTCAGAGAAGGAAACATGAGACAACTGTATGACACAACAAAGAAACTCTCTGGAAATCACCGTAAACCAGAACGACCAGCGAAAAACAAGGAAGGCAAGATAATCACCAACATTGAAGAACAACGAAACAGGTGGGTAGAACACTTCAAAGAACTCTTGAATCGACCAGCCCCACTGAACCCACCCAACATCGAAGCAGCACTCACGGACCTCCCAATCGATGTCGGCCCACCAACAATTGAAGAAATCAGCATGGCTATCAGACAAATCAAGTGTGGCAAAGCAGCAGGACCAGACAACATTCCAGCAGAGGCACTGAAAGCAGACGTAGCGGTAACTGCAAGGATACTCCACATTCTCTTCAGAAAGATTTGCGATGAGAAACAGGTACCAAAAGACAGGAAAGAAGGACTTCTGGTCAAAATACCAAAGAGGGCGATCTCAGCAACTGTGATAACTACAGGGGCATCACTCTTCTCTCAATACCAGGAAGAGTCTTCAACAGGGTATTGTTAAACAGGATGAAGGACCCCGTAGACGCCCAAATTCGCGACCAACAGGCAGGATTCCGTAAGGATAGATCATGTACAGACCAAATCGCAACTCTACGGATCATTGTGGAACAATCAATTGAATGGAATTCATCACTCTATATCAACTTCATCGACTACGAAAAAGCATTTGATAGCGTGGACAGAACAACACTATGGAAGCTTCTTCGACACTACGGCGTGCCTCAGAAGATAGTCAATATCATACAGAATTCCTACGATGGATTAAACTGCAAAATCGTTCATGGAGGACAGTTGACAAAGTCGTTCGAAGTAAAGATCGGTGTCAGGCAAGGTTGCTTACTCTCACCCTTTCTCTTTCTCCTGGTGATCGACTGGATCATGAAGACGTCAACATCTGAAGGGAAGCACAGAATAAAGTGGACATCTAGGATGCAATTGGATGATCTAGACTTCGCAGATGGTCTGGCTCTTCTATCGCACACGCGACAACAAATGCAGAAGACGACCAGTGTAGCAGCAGCAATAGGTCTCAATATACACAAAGGGAAAAGCAAGATTCTCCGATACAACACAGCATGCAACAATCGAATCACAATTGACGGAGAAGCTTTGGAAGATGTAAAAACCTTTACATATTTGGGCGGCATCATCGATGAACACGGTGGATCTGATGCAAATGTGAAGGCACGGATCGGCGAAGCAAGAGCAGCATATTTACAACTGAAGAATATCTGGAACTCAAAACAATCGGCAACCAACACCAAGGTCAGAATTTTCAATACAAATGTCAGAACAGTTCTACTGTATGGGGCGGAAACCTGGAAAACCATGAAAGCCATCATCCAGAAGACACAGGTGTTTATTAACAGTTGTCTACGCAAAATACTTCAGATCCGTTGGACGGACACTATTAGCAACAACCTACTATGGGAGAGAACAAACCAGATTCCAGTTGAGGAAGAAATCAGGAAGAAGCGCTGGAAGTGGATAGGACACACATTAAGGAAAGCACCGAACTGCGTCACAAGACAAGCCCCTACATGGAATCATCAAGGTCGAAGGAGGAGAGGAAGTCCAAAGTACACATTATGCCGAGAAATGGAGATAGACATGAGAAAAATGAACAAGAATTGGATGGAACTAGAAAAGAAGGCCCAGGATAGAGTGGGTTGGAGAATGCTGATCGGTGGCTTATGCTCCATTGGGAGTAACAGGCGTAAGTAAGTAAGTAAGTAAGTAAGTAAGTAAGTAAGTAAGTAAGTAAGTAAGTAAGTAAGTAAGTAAGTAAGTAAGTAAGTGAGTAAGTAAGTAAGTAAGTAAGTAAGTAAGTAAGTAAGTAAGTAAGAGTACAGTCACCGATTATCATTCAAATACATGTTTTTACCTAATAAGTGTAACTCATAATCTAAGCTTCAAAACGATCATATGAAAGTTTCTTCCTCCAAAAATTCGAATTATGGTGAGTTTTTATAGCCAGTGACATTATCACAGAAGTAGAATGTCTTATCTATGGTAGAGTGTGAAACAATCATCATTATAAATTGTTAATAAGTTTCATGATTCTCAGTGAATATATCCAGTACAAATGTCTTTTGGATTACATTTGAAGTATATTCAATAATTAATGATTATGAAATAACACTAGACAGAAATTAATTATTATAATCACAACTTACAAAATTAGCAGCACTTCTGTGCAAAGAACATGCCTGAAGTCGTTTAAGTAATGGAACACCGCGTCTAAACTCTCTTTTGAGCTTCCAAAATGCATAAGTTTGCTTTAGAAACTCCATTTTATCCCCTGATACACCAGATAATTTGGATAGAATAAGCTGAAAACAGGAGCCAACAGAAATTTAGAAAATACCTGTAATAAGGCTAAGGTATTCTAAAAATATAACATATATGCAATAACTAAGCCAGACAATTTCCATTGGTAGTGAAAACTGATGAAATCGGAAAGTTGGGTGCTGTTCTGTTCACAGTTTGTATTCAAATGACAGTTCGTAAACTTCCAAACATTAAAACCTAGTTTATATCTACAAAACCAACCAATAATCATCATCACTTAGTAATAACATGTTGTGGAATGAATCAGAACTATAGAGGAAATCAGGAAATAATAACAGTATCTTGCTGCATGATATCACTAACTGTGAAGTCGTTTCAGTCGACTATAAATTTAATATAAAATTGCACACCTTTACGTTATTGGACCATACTGTAATACATCAGATGGAATAGCTGGATATGCAAGTGAAAAGTTAATAAACGCATTCAAATAAGCATTAGAAGATAATTCTGGTCAGTTTAGAGCAATATTTGTGAATGCTTTTATCAATTGTGACACTTAATAAACCTAGAAATATGTGCATATTTCATAAACACCAGATGTGCTTTAGTTCCTTCACGCCAGAATGGTATTAAATAGATGATGACCAAATCTAACGGTGCTCTAAGTCTGACTGTTCCCCCTTCAAGACTCTGGAAAAATAGGAAGACTTGATTCGACATAAAATCGCAGCTTTGTTAAACTGTACTCATTACGTTTATAATGGCACTGAAATAGTTCCCAACTCATACTTAAGTTGGAGAGATAATTTAATATGAATACTGATACGATAAGACAGATATGTTATTATATATATTCATAATAGCCCTTACATGTTTTTTATTTATGTAAGCTGGTTACAGACTAATTTTATTTCATTCACCGAAGTGAAGTAGAAGTAGTATAATAAATCTTCATACGATAGGCTTGGCTTCTACTCAATAAACAAACCTATACGTTACTGCTGATTGACGTCAATTTATTATTATTAAAACATAGTTTTTTTTGAAAAATACTTTGACCAACAACTCACATCTAGTTTTGCTTTAGATACAATCGGAACACAAACAGATGGTTTAGAATTTCTACGTTCGGCTAAAATTTTACGAGCTTTCCTGAGATGAATTCGAGCTGCTCGCTCAGGAGATTGAGGACCATCCGAATCAGAATGAGCGTACATTCCTTTATTTGAACTCTAAATATGATTATGCAAAACAAAAGTTGGAATAATAATAACAATAATTTACTACAGTTAATAGAGTTGGGAATCTGAAAACAAATACGAATAGTGAGATAAAAGTCAATAGCTAGATAGCTTATTTTCAGTAGTAACAATTTAATTGGTTAATTAACGCGCTTAGATTTGTTCATTAATTTACGAAACAGTATAGTGGGAAATCGAGAGTAGCCGGTGACCAACGATTGGTTCATACGCCATTTGTCCCCGCAGAATACTGGAGCCCATGTGCCCCATTGGTTTGGGGTCCGGTTGAAGCGCCGGACATTCGCTTTTCGTCCTCTTATTTTTGTAAACAACACCCCCGCCACGAGAAGGCAGTGAGTAGGACTTCCCTGGCAGAGGCTATATACGCATGACCATGTGAGAGCATTTCGAGGAGAGCGGGCTCTCCCACTCTCGGCCGTACCAGGGCACAAGGAAGGAAGGGTTAGAAAAGGTTGACCTTAAAAATGTCACGCCTAACCTTACCTCACGGATTTCCGGCGGTAAGGCCCTTTGAAGAACAGAACTAATACGTTAAAAACCTCCTACAAAAAGGAAGTGCGCAACCGGCCTCAAGCAGTTGTCTCTTGGGCTCTGTGGTCACGCTACCAAATCATTAAAACCAACAATGACCCACCTTCTTTTTCAGATTCCTCAAGAAATACCCTTCCACGGTGTGGGCAGCCGGGAAGTGATATCAGCCCTCAAACCCAGAACAGCACACGAGACCAAGTTGGTCACATTCAAATCCTTCCTACACCTCCTAATAACTCTCTTATCTCCACGACTAACCCTACTCACGTCCCTTTATCACCTCGCCCCGCTGGTGCAAACGATTCGATTACGCGGAACGTTATTCCTGGTCTCCTGAAACCACGCTCTAAACTACACGTAGAAGCTTTCAACGTCCGAACACTGTACCAAATAGGAAAACAGGCTTCCTTAGATAGGACTTTAGAATCTCGCGCCATCGATGTGTGCTGCGTCTCCGAAACGCGCATACAGGATCCAAGTAATGTCATTCATCTGTCCTCACCATTTCAAAACAAAGAACCAACTCGATTCACGCTTCGTGTATCTGGAAGCCCTGATGCTGCTTCCCGTAGCCTCGCCGGCGTAGGTATAGCATCGAGTCCTAAGGCAGAACTAGCCCTCTTAGACTGGATCCCAGTAGACAGTCGTTTGTGCGCTGTCCGACTAAACGGAACAGTAAGGACTCGGAAAGATAGGGACAATCGTTGTTGCCTCTTCGTCGTCTCTGCCTACTCTCCCACTAACTGCAGCTCAGGTAATGTAAAAGATGAGTTTTACAGAAAGCTTTATGACCTTCTCCGAAAAGCTAGGCGCTCTGATGTAGTAATAGTGGCTGGTGACTTTAAAGTTCAAGTAGGTAATCTAAGCGAAAGGGAAAGACACATGGGTGGATCTTATGGTGTCGCGGTTCAAAGAACAGATAATGGAGACCGTCTGTTGCAGCTATGCTCAGATAACCGCCTGATTCTTGCAAACACTAACATTAAGCATAAGGGAAAACATTTTTTGACATGGAAACCCCCTAATTCGTCCCAACGTTGGACCCAAATAGATCACATCGCTATCAGCCACCAATAGAGGGACGCGATAGAAGACTGTCGCTCATTCTGGAGCACATGTTTAGACTCAGATCATGCTCAAGTGCAAGCACGTCTTTGTCTACGTCTTACTGGACGTAGAAAAGATGGTGCAAGGAAACTACTTAGAGTCTTACTTAATGATAGTCAAGCTAAGAGTATATTTCAGGACCAACTAGAAAAACAGTTAGAGAGCCATGTAAGCGATGCCCATCTCGAGGCAGCGTGGAATGACATCCGAAAAGCTGTAGAAACAGCAGTGATGTCTGCAAGTACGGTAAAACATAAGGTTGGGGAGAAACACTGGATCTCAGCAGTGTCTACCGCACTGATAGACGCTCGAAAACTTATTCCATCCGGCTCTGAACATAACGAAGAGCGGAGTCAGCTTAAGCGTAAGCTGACTAGAAGCCTACGCAATGATCGTGAACAGTGGTGGGTAGCGAAAGCAAGAGATGGAAAAGACAGTAGCAATAGGTAACAGCAGACAACTGTTCAGACTTGTTAAGGAAACTGGTATTGAGAACTCAACTGTTAGCGAAACTATCTCCGAAAATGATGGACATATTATTCCTTCTCAATCCAAGAGATTAGATCGATGGGCAGAACACTCTAGGGATCAGTTCAACTGGCCTTCAGCCACACATCGGTCGACCTGAATGGCAAGTTAATGTAAGTCCTCTAACTCTTTACGAAGTTAAAAAAGCTATAGGAAATCTGAAGCGTGGGAGAGCAGCAGGCCCTGACAGATTTACTCCTGAGATTTTTAAGGATGATGGTCCAGTATTAGCAGCGAGATTGACTGAGGTCTTAGGTAGAATCTGGGAACTGGACGTAATCCCATCTGACTGGTCTCAATCACTAGTTGTGCCAGTCTATAAGAAAAGACAAAAGTCCTCTTGTGACAATCACAGAGGCATCAGTTTGACTAACATAGTGTCTAAAATATTAGCTTAAATATTACCTCGACACCTAACCAAAGCTCGTGAAGAGCAGACTAGAGAAAGCCAGGCTGGTTTTCGACCTGGACGTGGTTGTATAGATCAGATATTCACACTACGTCAGGTCCTAGAACATAGACACACATTCAGACGCCTCACAATCCTAGTATTTCTCGATATTAAGGCGGCATTTGACTCTGTTGATCATGAGGTTCTATCGGTCAGTCAGTCAGTCAGCTGCGACGTAAGACCAGGCAAGTATATGCATCGGTCCAAGTTGCCATACCGCATTAGCACAACAAGATGAACACCGGATTCATAGAAGTATTTAATTCAATGGTGGTAATATATAGAAGAAAGATTGCATATAAGGAGATAGTACAGGAAGAAAGAATTAGTTCCTAGAAAGAAAGATATGAAGCGATTTTAATCTCTTAGTTTAAAGGAAGACAGAGTGTATACACGGACGCCATTGTGATCGATTCTGAGTCATGTCACCAAGAGTCTCCAACCATTGGTTACGATAGTCACGCGGACCCCAACCAGGCAGTCTGAATCTACCAACATGGCTCAGACCAGAAGTGTTTGTTACTGAAAGGATCACCAAAGAAGTACATTAACCTTATAAAGGCTCTCTACTCGAACACAACTGGTCTAGTGAGAGCTTATGGCAAACTGTCATCAGAACTGATTACCTCAAGTGGTATTCTTCAGGGCTGTCCACTCTCTCTATTCTTGTTTAACTTTGTCGTTGACGTGCTTCTAGAGATAACACTTTCCACATCTGAATTTCCAGGGGTTGAACTTCGACCGGGAGATTCACTTGTTGACTTAGAATATGCGGATGACATAGTTCTATTTGGTGAAGACGCTGACAAAATGCAGAGTCGGCTGATCACTCTAAGCAACAATGCAGGCATGTTCGGCATGCGATTCTCCCCCTCGAAATGCAAAATGTTACTTCAGGATTGGGTGGCATCGACACCCGAACTAATGATAAGGAGCGAAGTAGTTGAGCGTGTCGACCGCTTCACTTATCTTGGGAGTCTCATCAGCCCTTGTGGTTTGGTGTGTGACGAAATCTCAGCACGGATATAGAGGGCTCAACTAGCTTTTGCCAACTTGCGTCATTTGTGGCGTAGGCGAGATATCCGTCTACCAACCAAAAACGGGTTTACTGAGCAGCAGTTCGTTCCGTCCTACTTTATGGCAGCGAAACATGGCCGGTAAGAGTAGAGGATATTCGTAGGCTACTAGTATTTGATCATAGATGTCCTGGGACCACCGAGTAAGTAATGCAGTTGTTAGGAAACGGGCACTAGGTAAGGATGACAAATCAATTGGTGAAGTAATGAAACTTCATCAGTTGAGATGGCTGGGACACGTGTTACGTATGCCCGACCACCGACTGCCCCGACGCGCGATGTTTTATGGTGTAGAAGTAGGCTGGAAGAAAGCTAGGGGCGGCCAAACCGGAACGTGGCATAAATCCATGAAGTCACTGGCAAGTGGACTGAGCCATGTTGGTAGGTGAAGACTACCTGGTTGGGGACCGCGAGATGATAGCAACAGATGGTTAGAGACCTTGAATGACATGGCTCAAAGTCGTTTGCAATGGCGCAGGTGCATTCACTCTTTGTGTTCCCCCAAATTCTAATCTTCTGAATTCTTCATGTCCCTTATGTTTTCTCTTTCCAAATTTATTTCACTGGATTATACTCCTTGAATAACATCATCAAACCCTAATGTTCCTTATTACTACTAATACTTTCACTACCTCTACCACTACGGGATTTAAATCGATAACTGAATCTCTGTGCTAATGTGGTATGGCAACTCGAACTGATGTACGCACGTACGAAGTTCTACGTTGTTACTGATTGACTGACTATACATTGAACTGAGCAGTATCAAGCTTACATTTAGGTTAATCAGATGAGTGATTGTTATTCTATCATTTAGAAATTGTTTAATAATCTAGATAAAATGACTCTTCCCTAAAAGAATCACCTAGAAGTTAGATGACTATGGTTATCATTATAATGGTATTGAATATTAATTCTAGACATATTTTTAATCATAGTGCGAGCGAACTTACAGAAAAGTGATCCGGTGGACAATGTTGATCGCAAAACGCACTCTTTCGTATTCCTAGATCTCCAGGATTATCTGTATGCTCAATTTTCATATACAATCCAGCATGTTGTGCACATGTCACATGAAACGCTCGATAACAACTAGATTTATGACACTGTATACAAGCACCAACATTGCGTTGTTTACAAATGAAACACTGAAGACGCCATCTACAGAAAATGAAGATTATTATTGATGTAAACAAATTAAAAGCTCCAATCCAATATAAAAAATACAACTGAACGCATTTATGTTAATAAATCTGTTATTTCATCTAAAGTTCCGAGGTAAACAAATTAGGAACTACTTCTAAATCTGAAAATATTACAGAAGGAACATTCAGCTAATCCTATTGGGCAATACTACTTTCCTTCCTAGAAATCTATTTAAGAAATCCTTATTGAAGCTATAGGTCATTAAACTAGACTTTTAGTCAACATATCTGGTTGACCAATACTAATACATACTTAACGCCTGTTATCGCTTGTGGAGGAGCATAGGCCACCCACCACTATTCCCCATTCGAATCTGTCCTGGACAATCCTTTCTGATTGCTATTCATCATTTTCATATCTGCTTCCAATTCCCGACGCAGTGTATTCTTTGGCCTTCCTCTTTTCTGTTTCACTTCAGGATTCCAAATTAGCGCTTGCCTCGAGATACAATCTGATGATTTCCTCAATGTGTGCCCTATTCACTTCCATCTTTACCTAATTTCCTCTTCAGTTGGAAGCTGGTTTTTTCTCTCCCATAGTAGGCTGTTGCTAATGGTATCCGGTCAACGGACATCCAGTATCTTAAGTAGACAATTGTTTATAAGTACCTGTACCCTTTTGATGATGGTTGTGGTACTTCTCCTCGTTTCAGCCGCGTATAGTAGAACTGTCTTGACGTTCGCACTGAAAATTCTCACTGTGATGTTGGTTGACAGTTATTTTGAGTTCCAGACATTCTTGAGTCATAGGAATCCGACCCTTGCTTTGCCCTTACATCTGCATTAGATCATTCTTGTTCATCGATGATGTTTACCAGGTATGTAAAAGTTTCCACATCTTCCAGAGTTTCTCCATCAAGTGTAACTGCGTTGGTGTTCTCCATGTTATATTTCAGGATCTTGCTTTTCCCCTTGCTTATGTTGAGGCCTACTGATGCAGAGACTACTGCTAGACTGGCAGTTTTCGCCTACATTTGTGACTGTGTATCAGATAGAAGGGCTAGGTCATTTGTGAAGTCCAAATCGTTTAGTTGTATCCCACCAGCTCACTGTATTTCGTGCATCCCCTCATATGTCGAGGTCTTGATAATCCAGTCAACTACCAAAACAAATAGAAAGGGCGAGAGTAAGCAGCGTTTTCTGACTCCGGTCCTCACTTGGAATGCATCTATCAACTGTCCTCCATGCACCACTTTGCAGTGTAGTCCGTCGCATGAATTCCATACTATTTTAACGATCTCAGGTACACCATAGTGTCGAAAAAGGCTCCACAAGTTTCTCCTATCTTCGCCGTCAAACGCTTTCTCATAATCTAGGAAGTTGGTGAATAGTGACGAGTTCCATGCAAATGATTGTTCGACGATAATCCATAGTGTTGCAATTTGGTCTCTGCACGAACGATCCCTACAGAACGCGGCCTGTTGATTATTAACACATAGTGAAATAGTTTTCCATGTTTAAGAAAACAACGGCCGAGAAATCGTTCAATTTAAAATCAAGATTACGTGAAATGGAAGTAACAAATTTGATATTATTGTCAAAAAGCCAACTCTCGACTAACGAAATTCACAGAGTGTAAGCTAAACACAGTCAATCCAGTGAAATGATACAGTTTCAGTTGCATAGACTAGCAAGATTTGCTGCATAATTTGTAAAATGTTAATTTGTTCAAATTATTAAAATGAAGTTAATAGTGCAACTTTGTGGAACTAAGATTCTTTATTAACGGGTACAAATTGCAAACCATGGTTATATGGTGAGAAACTGAAAATTAAAAGATTAAAAAGTGAAAGTAGAATACAAAACAAAGATATGAAGAGTTAATTGATAATTAAGAGGAAGGACTTACATGTAACGGTAACGTGTGACGTCAATTTATGGTTTAACATTGGCCATACTGCTAAACTTAACATATTGAACGAAACGAAAGAGATTTGTGTGAAGGGAGTGACAAATATACTTTCAAGAAGTTCTGGCTATTTCAAATCTTGTATATTTCTTAGAGAACTTTAATGCCAATAACAGAGAGTTAAGACTACTGTATTATAAGTTAATATTTCCAAATTCTTCATCGTCAATGCAAGACAAGACCACTTAAAATCTTTACTACTTGTAAGAATCATCATATTATCACCATGATCTATTATAATGAATATCCGTCACACATACTTAATTCATTTTAATTATTCATCATACGACATTAGCCTTCATAAGACACTTCTTTTCAACTGGCATTTACTGTATGATAAAGTACGAAGATAATATAGATATTGGTAGTGTAGCACAAATAAGAAGTGAAAACTCACACAATATGTCAAAGTAATAATATCGGTAGGAATTTATTTATTTATTTGAACACATAAATATTAGTACAAGAGGGAACCAAATATATATGCGCCACACAAAACAGTGAGAATTTAAAGAGAAGGGGAAAAAAGGAAGGAGGGTAAGGAGCGTAAAAAAGAGAACAATAACGAACAGATTAGTGTAAGTTAGTGTAATAGTAATAATAACGGGGGAAACGAAAAGGTACAATCAGAAGAAATCTTTCAGTTAAGGAAGAAGCAACCACTTTTTACGAAGAAAGTAAAAGAAGGTTACAGCAGGATCGCCACTGGCTTCTATTCTGAGCCATATCTGATAAAGTCTCTAGCCACTGTGCTGCACCATCTCTAGGACCTAAGCCAGGGAGTCGGAAAGGACCAACACAAGCCAGCCCTTTGCAGCTTTCTTTCATACCACGACACCATGTCATATACTGAGCACCTCTCCGCTTTTTCCAACCAGTCCCAGAGTCGGCAAATAATGCACGACGTGGAATTCTCTGGGACGACATTCGTAGAACATGTCCAAGCAACCAAAGTCGGTGTTTCAAGATGGTGACACCAATTGCATTATCGTCTCTGTGCCCGAACACACGATGCTGAACCTCTGCATTACTAACGTGGTGTTGCCACTGGATGTCAGCAATCCTTCGGAGACAGCGATGATCGAACACAGAGAGTCATCTAACATCCTCAACTCAGAGAGGCCAGGTTTCACAAGCATAGAGCAGAACTGCTCTCATCGACGCGTTGTAGATCCGATCTTTTATAGCCAGACTAACATCACGAAGGCGCCAAAGAGGCTCAGATTGGCATAAGCCACTCTGGCTTACAATATACGTGCATTCATCTCATCACTCATGCCACCACCAGCACTTATGCAGCTACCTAGATACACGAACTTCTCTACTACTTCTATCTGCTCACCATCCAGAGTGAGTACAGGATTAGAGTCCTGCCAGTCTTGCAGAAGTACTTTGCACTTCGAAGGTGCAAAGCACATACCATACCTACGGACATTGATTTCCAACTGATTAAGTGTGGACTGCATGGCTTGGGCATTCTCTCACAGTAAGACAATATCATCTGCATACTCAAGGTCGAGAAGTCTTCCTCCAGGTAACAGATCCACACCATCATTACTTACATCCATCAGAGATGTTTCCAGAATGTCATCGATGGCAAAGTTGAAGAGGAATGGTGAGATTGGGCAACCTTGCCTAACCCCACTGCCGAAGGGAACAATGGAAAGAGGTGGTTGTATGCCCTCACTCTGCCTGAGGTGATTGTATATAGGGCTTTTAGGATGTTAATAAACTTCTCAGGCACACCCTTCTTCAATAGACAATCCTAGAGAACAGTCCTATCCAACGAATCGAAGGCAGCCCTGATATCAAGAAACACTACGATTGTTGGCCTGTGATAAGTATTACAGTGTTCTAACATTTGGAGGAGGATGAAGATATGGTCGATGCATCCTCGACCAGAACGAAAACCAGCCTGCTTCTCGCGAGTCAATCTCGGGCTTTGAACAACCTACGAAGTATAACGGAAGCCAATAGCTTGGAAGCAATCGGAAGTAGACTTATCCTCCGATAGTTGTTACAGAAACGACGTAAACCTTTTTAAAGATAGGGACAACTATTGAATCATTCCATGACACTGGTACACTATCTCGCTCCCGGACCTTTGTAAACAACGCCGTCGGCTCCTTAGCCAGAAAGTCACCACCATCTTTAAAAAGAGCCGGAGGTAAGTCGTCTCGGCCCGGTGATTTGTAGTGCTTCAAGAGTTGGAGTTCCTTGTGGACTTCCGCCTCATTTGGTGGATCAGTCGTCACCGGCCATGGAGGGCAGGACAGTCTGATCGATGTTGCCGGAGCAGCAGGCTAGTTGAACTGCCCTTCGAAGAATTCGGCCCATCGTCCAAGACGTCGATGGATGTTAGTGATTGGCATCCTGTCATCCTCGCAGATTGTTTCGATCACACCAGACTTCTTGCTGCCAGTGGCTCGGATGAGTTGGAAGAGCTTCCGGTAATTACCAGATGCAGCTGCTGCTTCCAGCTCATCAGCGAGCTCCGACCAACAAGTTTCTCGGTCCTTACGCAAGCTTTGTCCAATTTCATTGCGTAACATGCTTCGTTTGTGGTCAAACTCACGGTCACCCGGAGTAGACGACGGGCTTCAATGAGTTGTAAGGAGCCTGAAGAAACCCAGTGCTTATAGGCGGGACGTTTCGCGAACCCACAACAGACTTATTCGCCATTTTCATGGCGTCATGCAATTGCAACCAATGCTCATCTATACTCTTCGGTGGAATGGTAGCTAGCCTAGAAGCTAACTCGGTTCGGTACTTACTAGCAACGGAAGTTGCAACCAGCTTGCTAACACCAATCCTTTGGTGGCGGTCACTTCGTTGTCCACTAAAAAGTAAGGTAAGATTGGCGCAGACCAGGGCATGATCAGATTCCAGATAGGTACTCTAAAAGGAGCGGCAGTCTTGTATACAACCACGCCAGCGGTAGCTGATCGCGATGTGATCAATCTGAGTCCAGGCTTGAGATGCAGAGGGAGGACGCCAGGTGACACGTCGGCGATGAGTGTGCCGGAAGTTAGTGCTAGCCAGAAACAGGTTGTGGTCTGTGCACAGCTGCAGTAGACGGCCCTCGTTATCTGTCCTGCGACCAACAAGTCCCCATCGGTCACCTAAACGACTCTCTTCTGTGCCTAGACGCCCGACCTGAGCATTCAAGTCTCCGGCTAGTACTACAATATCTGTCGAACGCACTTTCTGGAGAAGAACAGTTAACTGGTGGTAGAACTCATCCTTGATTGCATCCGGGCTGCAATCTGTCGGGGCATAGGCGGAGACGACGAAAAGACATCGTTTCTCACGCCGATTTCTTCTCACTTTGATGGTACTTTCTAATCTAACAGCACATAATCAACTGTTAATGGGGATCCAATCGATTAGTGCTGCCTCAGCTCTAGCGCTTAGTGCGACACTAACGCCAGCAAGACCAGACGAAGATGCCACAGGGTCCCCGGATAAACGCACGTAAAACAAGCGTTTTGAATTGACGGATGGAGTACTTCACCACAGTCTTGAATGCGGGTCTCGGATAGACAACAAACGTCAATATTAAGACTTTGCAAAGACATAGCCAGCTTTATCTGTTGTCCGACCTGCATAAGTGTGCGAACGTTGAAGGAAGCCAGTTTGAATGGTGCACGTGGTTTCAGAAAAACTGCTTCAGTACTTGTATCCGATGGTAACATATAATTTTCAACTATGCAGTGACTCGAGAACGTTTAGATAGAGCCTAATTTCCACCATAGACGAGCTGCTGTATAAGTCAAAAAATAAAGATACATAAAGTGTGAGTAAAAGAGTGAGTAAATGACATGATAAACAATAATAATAATAATAACAATAAAAATGTGAGTCATTTGATTGTTATTCGGAGCAAGAAGAATATTTTCCATAAACAGACAGTTCATCATTTTTTGTGTGTGGGCTGTGATACTGCCCGGGTGCCCAAACCGAAGCAGGTGGTTTTCTTAAGGAACCCCACCCCGAGCCTTTGACCTAAATGTCTAACCCACAAGGCAGTGGAGATCGTGAAGAGATGCAGTCCCATGGTAGCCGGTGACCAACGATTGGTTCATACGCCATTTGTTCCTTCAGGATACTGTAGCCCATGTGCACCATTGGTTTGGGATCCGGTTAAGGCGCTGGACATTCGGTTTCCGTCCTCTCATTTTTGTTAACAACACCCCCGCCACGAGAAGGCAGTGGGTAGGACTTCTCTGGCAGAGGCAGTATACGCGTGGCCGTGTGAGAGTATTTCAAGAGGGAGGGGTAGCCCACCCCGCTCTCGGCCATACCAGGGCATTCGGGGGAATCGGTATGGAAGTATCCATAATAATAAAAATCAAGTCAACAATAATACATAATGCATTTCCACAAGCTCACTTATGACTGAAAATCAACATGTTAAATTGTATACTAAACCAACCTGGCTGTAGCAATTCTGTCGATGCCTTCCAGCGGTTCAAGGAATGTCAGATTAGCAAACATCACTTCAGGTACCCATAACCCACATATTACATGAGCCCATCGGTCGTCTGTAGTTTTTTTGAAAGCACCGCCTCTATTCGGACAAAGGACACATGAAACTGGTTCGCTTGGTGAATGAAGGCATTTACGACACAGCCAAGGACCTTCAGGGACATAAGGAACTCCATAACATTCCTAAAAATAAAAATAGAACGAGTACTGGTGGTAAACATACTCTTAACTAAACACATTACAATTCGCATGCCTGAACAGTATTACATAGTGTGATGATGTGGCTTATTGTCCCTATATCTTAAAACATTCCAATATTAATTTAAAGGAGTCAGGGGACGAGAAAAGTCATTTTGTCATGATAAACGTAGTGACTGTCCGCTATATGAGTCAATTTGACAACTGTAAGTGGTTATTGAGATATGTATTTATTTATTCCATTAATGTTAAAATCTTAATGTACTGAGATGTTTGGGACATGTGTTACATATTTCCAGCCCCAGGATCCTGAGGGGACAAATGGAGTACGAACCTACTCTCGGTCACATACTTTCAATTCATTTATTAATTTAAACACAAACATTAGTACAAAGAGACACCAAGATAAATGTGCACCACATAAAGTAAATATTCAATTTGTGTATGAGCTGGGATTTATTTATTTATTTTAACACATAGATATCGGTACAAGAAGGCACCAAATACAAATGCGCCACACAAATCTCATTTGATATGTGTGAGGGCTGTGATACTGCCCGGGTCCCCAAACCGAAGCAGGTGGCTTTCTTAAGGGGCCACACCCTGAGCGTTTGACCTGAAGATCTGATCCACAAGGCAGTGGAGCATCGTGAGGAGATGCAGTCCCAGGGTAGCCGGTGACCAACGATTGGTTCATACGCCATTTGTTCCTTCAGGATACTGGAGCCCATGTGCACCATTGGTTTGGGATCCGGTTATAGCGCCGGACATTCGCTTTTCGTCCTCTCATTTTTGTTAAAAACACCCCCGCCACGAGAAGGCAGTGGGTAGGACTTCCCTGGCAGGGGCTGTATACGCGTGGCCATGTGAGAGCATTTCGAGAAGGAGAGCGGACTCTCCCCACTCTCGGCCGTACCAGGGCATGAAACCACACCTCCCGACGTTGCTCCAGTGCATTATGGATTAGACCTCTCGGTCAAAGGCTCAGGGAGTGGCCCACTAAGAAACCACCTGCTTCGGTTTGAGCACCCAGACAGTATCCCAGTTCATACACAAATTGAATATTTACTTTATGTGGTGCACATATATCTTGGTATCTCTTTGTACCAATCTTAGTGTTTAAATAAATAACTATCATTGGTGATGTTTGCTGGTGTAGTAATACGTTGGAAAAAAGGTAGGGGTGGTCAAACCATAAGGTGGCATCAGTTCATAAAGTTATGGATTGCGAATTCGACCCATACTAATGGGTGCAGACTAACTAGTTGGGGGCCCAGGAGTTTGTCATGGTAAATATAGTTGGAGACGACGAGTGGCATGATTCAGAACCAGCCACGGTGGTGAAAATATATCCTCTCTTTATTTTCTTTTGAAAAGTGAGTTTCCAAATTATTTTATACCTTTAGTTCCGCGAATTAATTCTTTCTCAAATTATATTCTCTATACCTAATCTTTCTTTTAATATCACTGGTATTACCAATTAGATATTCGTTCTGACGATTTTGTATCGTTTTGCTTATGAGTTGTGGCAACTGAAATAAATGAACATAGGTCCAAAGCTGATTGATGACATCATAAACGTAATTGGTATACTAACATGTTATTATACATATTTATACACTTCATTTCAAATAGTTAAGGATGGTATAAGATTGGAAAACTAATAAATCTGCTCCCTAATGAAGGTAAAAGAAATTTTTGAAAACAATTACGTACCTAGTTATCAGAACACATATTTAAAGCGTTCTGCAAGTTATCAAAGTAACAATAACACAAAGTTACCTACTCACTATTAAAGAATCACTAAAAACAGGTCCCAACGAACATCGAAAAACAGCAAAAAAATTTGTAAAATATGGCTAGAAAATCAAGGTTGATAACTAAGCCGTCAAAAAATGAAGGCGGAGCTTGTAATCAAATAGTTGGATGAAGATGAACATGAGACAAAACTAAGAGTTCGTTATACCATGGAAATCACCTCCCCCCCCCCAAAAAAAACATATATGCGCCACTGCTATAGTGTAAGTATATGTAGTTTCTTTTTTCGTATATTTATTGAGCATAAACCGGTTGATGCACGATCATGAGAAAGCAATCAAATATGAGCGTATAATCATATTCACTGAACTAAATATCCCCAAATTATTGGATGCTTAGACAATTTTAAGAGTATATAAACTTAAGCGAGTTAGCAACAAACAAAAGGGTTTAATCTCATTAAACGCAGTGACTTTATCATAATGCAATGAATTGGACACAGATCTGATGAAATAGACAAAAATTTAAAATGGAAAAGTATTGTAACGTACCTGATGTACGGCTAAGTTGCAAACATCACAAAATAATATAACATTCGTATTTTCGCAAGTCCCGTCCTGACATACAGCACATACAGCATCTTCATCGATACCTGAATGGTTGCCACCAATATCAGGGAAGACGTCTGTCGTTTCACAACCATTCGAAGTAAACAATCGGAATCTGGCCTTTTTTTCAAATCTGTCCATAATCCATTCCAGAGTAGATTCAGAGACAGGCGGTAAAGATAGACTATTGCGTTTAGCATTGATCCTTTTAAGCCAAAAAAGATCCTATACAGAATAGAGTTAATACCATATGTGACGACTAGATCAACGTATGGGGTTTTAAAAGTCAGATATTTTATTAATACAGGTCGTCTTGACCTATGACAGAAACGGTAACTAGGTTACGGTAAAATATCGGCAAAATCATGCAACGTTTTACAGCTTAATCTAGCTTTTTGCGGTATCAAAAATAACACTGTTTTACAATACCGTCTTATACCATGGAGCAGTAGGATAGTGGTAAAGTCATTCGACTTTTAAATATTACGACTTAGGCTCGAGCCCTGCCTTACCTACTTCGATAGCATCACTAGCGTTTACACCTAGAGTGTGGCTCATACTCAATTACCTAGGGAACGGGTTGGTCCGACTTTTTAATTTAAAAGTCATTTACATAGTTATTTGGTAATTGACCTATTTGATAGTTGAAGAGATTATGTAACTTTTTTATGTCAGTCTTATTTAAATTATGCTAGAAAGTAGGATGATTAAAATCGCTCTGTATCATTTTGTTCGGAATAATTATTTTGCAAAGTACTCATCATTGGTTAACGTAAATACAGTAACTTCAAGAATTTATTGTAATATCCTAAAAATATTTACTTTAGTAAAACTAGATCTATGTGAGATAATCAGATCAAGTTTACTATAAGATCGCAAGTGTACACCTTATAATAGATCTGAAGGAAATTAGGACTTCTAAAACAGTAACCAAGATAAATATGAGACTTTTTAAATATGCAAATCAATAACTTGTGGTATAAAACAAAACGATTATCATCACTGATATTTACTCGCAAGTAAATAACAAGCTGCTGGAAAGGATTGCTCAGGACAGGGTTGGATGGAGAATGCTGGTGAGAGGTCTATGCTCCTTCGCGAGGAATAACAGGTGTAAGTAAGTGAATAACAAGCTGGTTGGTCTTTGTTCGTATAATATCCCATTAAGAGGACAGATGATTATTACAGTTGACTTTTATGATATTAAAAACGGATACGAATAACAACAAAGTCATAAAGGATCCCTCTTCCTATTAAGTGGTTGATATGATCTGTATCCTGATATAAAATTTTCATGCAAAAGGTTAAGCGTTCGCGTGCGAGACTGAAGGCCCTGGGTTCGAATCCCGCGAGCGGGATCGTGGATGCGCACTACTGAGTTACACAATAGGACGAAATGGCCATTCAGTGCTTCCAGGTATCTAACGGTGGTCTAACATCAATCGGTTCATGATCTTAATCAAAAAGAGAATCAAGTAGTTGAAAAATATATGTAAATCAACTTGTGAAACCAAACGTTTCCATTAACACAAACTATATCTACAAATATCGTATTTACCTCTTCATCTAAATCATACTCAACAACCTCATCCAATTCATCGGATGTCTTTTCAATAAAACGAATATAACTTGAACCTTCTTTTAAACGAACGGACTTCCGAATAGAAAATTCTGGATCAATTGAATAAACCGCTTTTGGTATCTCGATAACATTGTTCACTTCCATGCTATTTGTATGGAGGGAGCCTTTCCCACATAAATCAGACTGTTGTTTATCTGAAAATTGTCCTACAGTCAAACCACTTTTGTTATTCTTAATGCGACCCTTGTTTTTGTGATGAAGCATTTTACTTCTACTAGATGGCTGCTTTTTGTTAATTGGAACCCCTTCGGGTTTAGATAACGCTTGCGCCGAGGTGCACGAATCTTTGTCTTCTACCTTGTTTGACATATTTTGCAAGCAAATGGTAAGAGGGACGCATATGTTACAGCGAAACGTGTGACCTTTGGTGGCTGGAGAAGCTTCGAAAACCACAGAAGTATGAGCATCAGTAAAAGTCATAGGGGTTTTGCTTTGCTGTCGACATAAATTTTCGGTTGGATGACCAACAACAATTTGCGCCTTTCCAATCTGATCAGAACCATTCTCTAAAGCAGGCGCACATTTAAAGTTGCTAGAAACTTCACCATTTACAAGTGGTCCAGGGATATCTATTGGAGCAGGAGGGCGATGGAGAAGCATATGTTTTTGCATATAATTGTATGATCTGCAAACTTTCTGGCATGTTTCTGACGGGCACACAAAGGGGGGTTTGTTGCCCTGAATTCTTGAGAGGAAGTCATCGATATCAAAGTCAACGGGATGGTAAACCATCTAGAAAGGAAAAGAGCTGTTTCAAGAAACAAAAACAAACCATTGGAAACTGACACTTGACATTCCTACGAAAGCATAGGCTACTTTACGAAATTTAAACGGAAAAACAAGAGTGCACAAATGAAGAGAATGAAAAAAGAATAATAGCAATTTAATGACAAAAAAGTAAGCAGTGAAAAATGTTTAACAGCTAAGTATTCTTTGACAATTACAAAGACGTTAAACCCTGGGTTCTGAGATTTTAAAAGTGATTTGCAATGATGTTATAACTAACGGTCCATGCATTTGTACAAATGTGTTCATTTATATACCACACCAATCAAGATCGAAAACCACTGACATTTCAGAAAAAAACAGAACATTCACGATGCTTATATAACTACAAGACTTAAATTACTAACCAGAGCCTCTGTGAACTGTTTTGATTAATCTATCTATTGACTTGCGTCAGCGCCCGAAATAACGAGTGAAGTGGTTGGATACATCGTTCACCTCATCTATTTCGGGAGTTTCATCGGTCCTGATGCTCTGGTGTCTGACAAAATCTCGGAAAAGATTCAGAAGTGTCAAGTGGCTTTCGCCAACTTGCATCACTTGTAACCTAGGTGAGATATCCGTCTTACAACCAAAGGAAGAGTTTACTGTGCAGCAGTTTGCTCCGTCCAATTTTACGGGAGTGAAACATTACACATGGATGCTATTCGTAGGTTACTACTATTCAATTATAGGTGTCTTTGAAGCATCGCTTGTGTATTTTGGGATCGCAGAGTAAACAATGTCTGGGTTAGAAATGGAGTACTAGGTAAGGATGGCAAATCGATTAATGAGAATGTACATCTCCATGAAGTCACTGGAATCGAAATAAGCCATGTTAATAGGTGCACGTTACCTGATTGGGGTCCGCATGATTATCGTTACCAATGGTCAGAGGCTTTGAATGAAATGACTCAAAATCGTTTGCAATGGCACAGGTGCATGCATTCTTTATCTTCCTTCAAATTCTAATATTCTGAATCCCTCATAACTGTTTTTGTGTCTTTATCTCACACGGCCACGCGTATACTGCCTCTGCCAGGGAAGTCCTACTCACTGCCTTCTCGTGGCGGGGGTGTTTTTTACGAAAATGAGAGGACGAAAAGCGAATGTCTGGCGCTTTAACCGGACCCCAAACCAATGGTGCACATGGGCTCCAGTATCCTGAAGGAACAAATGGCGTATGAACCAATCGTTGGTCACCGGCTTCCATGGGACTGCATCTCCTCACGATGCTCCACTGCTTTGTGGGCTAGACCTTTAGGTCAAAGGCTCGGGGTGTGGCCCCCTAAGAAAACCACCTGCTTCGGTTTGGGCACCCGGGCAGTATCTCAGCTCACACACTAAAATCATGATGAACTATCTGCTTATGGAAAATATTCGTTTCTCTCCGACTAACATTGAAATGACTGGTGTTATTATTTACTACGTCATTTATTCACTATCTCCTATTTCTACTTTTTGTATCCGTTTCGACTCAGACAGCAGCTCGCCTATGGTAAAAAATTCAGCTTTATCTAAACGTTCTCGAGTCACTGCCTGGTTGAAAATTGTATGTTGCCACCGAATACGAGTACTGAAGCAGTTTTTCTGAAACCACGTGCACCATTCAAACTGGCTGCGTCAGTATGTGACATGGTGTCGTGGTATGAAAGAAAGCTGAAAAGGGCTAGCTTCTGTTGGTCCTTCACGACTCCCTGGTTGGGGTCCGAGAGACGGTGTAACGCAGTGGCTAGAGACGTTATCAGATATGGCTCAGAATAGAAGCCAGTGGCGATCCTGCTGTAACCTTTTACTTTCTTCATAAAAAGTGGTTGTATCTTCCTTAACTGAAGGATCTCTTCTGATTGTACCTTTCCGTTTCCCCCACTATTGTTCTCTCTCTCTTTTTTTATAATTCCCCACGTTCATTACTTTTTTTTCTTTTTTCTCCTCTTCAAATTATGATTGTTTTGTGTGGCGCATATATATTTGGTGCCCCCCTGTACCAATATTTATGTGTTCAAATAAATAAATAAATAAAATCTCACTGATTTATATTTTCTTGAATCGTATCATCGATATCTAGTCTTTCCAATCAACATTCATACTGTTACTACCTCTACTATTCTGGGATTTGGTGTGACACTTTCACCTCTGTGCTAATGAGGTATGGCTACTTGAACTGGTGTACATACGTGCTAGGTTCTACGCTGTTACTGTCTGAACCTATTTCTACTTTAGTTGTACAATCTTACTTTAACTGGTATGAAAAACCGAAACAAACAAACAACTTGAAGTGCACAGTATATACGATGCTTTAAGACCTATGCTGAGATTTCATCAGTGACAAGATGATCGGGGTTGATGTGACAACCTAGGCAATCAAACATACATATTTCATACACCCAGATTCCTTGATAGATTTCAAAAGAAGAACAATAAGGTTTCCAGACCTTGTTCTTTCTCTATTTAAACATAAATATCGTAAGATCTTGTAAGTATATTGGTTCGTAATACCGCAAATGGAAACAGCGAAGAGGAAAAGTAAGGAAATGGAGATAACATTGCCAACAGTAGTTGAACATCGAAGATAGGGAATAAGGCAGAGAATATGGAGAAACCCAATAATTTTAACTGTAAACACTAGGACTTATATATGTTCCCACCAGAAGACAATGGATGTATTTTGCCAAAGTAGCCAATCATGAGTATTGCTCCCCATGGTCATCAAACATAGACCATAAGTACTTGAATGAATCTATCCAGGTTAGAAAGTTAGTGAAGTGATCTTTACAACGGGATAATGAACTTCACATTACTAAACTAGGTGTTGGTACACATGAGTAGGGGGGGACGGCAGTATTGGACATTCTCGCGACTGTCAAACACCCATGTTTTCAGACAAAATTAAAAACAGAATGATCGTCTGTCATTATCATCACAGAAAGAGATAGTATTGACGATATTTCGAAAAAAAGAGTTCTCCACTTAATGTCAAATTGAAAATCCTTCAAGAAAACCTGCCTTTGTACATGTTATAAAAAGAACAAATAGGTACTTTTCTCAAGGCTCTTCAGAAACTAGATCGCACTCTTTAGCTTTGATGGAAATAGCCATTTACTTTAAACGCAGCTATCAACATAAAAAGCCATTTTCACAATATTACGAAGTCCACGGACAGTTTAAACTATCCTAGAGACAGTAATACCCGCGTAATCAATCATGCGAACTAAAACGACCCTTAAAGAACGAACACCTTATTTCTAGATCTTAATCATTAAGGCGTAATCTGCTGTTACTAAACATATTCAGGTTCTAATCCAAAACTTCGTATTTAAATCACATTTTGAGTCTAATATCTTTAAACCCATGGCATAGGATGGACGAAAAGGCATTGAGTTTAAGACGATTTTGTCTTTTCACACCTGAATCTGGTCATCAACAATAAAAGCTTTAAGAACTGACCTTTCAAATCCCATGGAACCATATGTCCAATAAGTACCGTATTGGTTCAAAAATGCCGCTTATGAAGGAAGAAGGCACTTTCCAATATACATTGTTTATGCAACGAATAGTCGTGTATCAAATAAGAAAAGCCATTGCTCACTAAACTTTTTATCCAGTGCTGGTGTTTTAACAATTGATTATTTATGATGAAAAACCTGGTGTCTGATAGAATAGACTTAATGAAATGGCTCAATGACCGTTGAGAGACTGATAATCAGACTCTAGGATTGTAGCAAAAGTACCCAATCAGACAGTCCGAGTGTTTTTCATCTCGTCGTTCAGAACTCAACGGCAATCATTGAAAATATTTTCAATAAGAGCATATGCCCTTATACCGTTCACTATTCTGTGGTAATATGCATGACAAGCTTATTTTGTAAACAGTTTTTGATGTTTTCTGTACTTCTTCTGTCAATTTTGCACTTCGTGCACATTTAACATTAAATGGTTGTAAGTATTGTTTAAGTGTGTGACCTTGAACACTTTCCGTCGTGTTACTCATAGCATAACACACGCTGTTACCTACCAACAAATACACTGCTACGCATATACCTCTTGTTCTTCATTGCTCGTGGTCGTGTTAACTGAACTCTAAATCAAATACCGTCTACATATACAGACTACAACTTAATTATATCGTATTTTACGGTTGGTTATATCACTGGAAGGATATCATTCTTACTGGAATCTTCAATCATCTATAATTGTGGATATTGGTACCAAACTTAACCGGAACACGCACAAATCTGCTGAACTAAGTAACATCTCTAATTTTTGTTGTGTTCATAACGTTTAACTGATATATACTAACATTTCGGTTTGTATTATCATCATTTTGAGTTCATATATTATTTGTTCCATCACAATTATCTGGTGAGCCTCGAGTCTATGGACAATAGACTCAGTATGTCAATAGCCCTACCAGACATCAAAATATCTTGGACTTAGTCTTAAACAGTGGCCTCACCCCCAATACTGTGTATATTGGAAAAACGTTTCCAGGTAGTGATCATATCATTGTCATATGCAGCCTTAATATAGAAACACAACCGGTGGACGTAAAACTGTAACACTTCGTTGAAACTATCTCAAGGTTGATTGGAATAATTTTCACAATTACCTAAGAAGCACTGATTGGGGAACTTTCTTTACTGCGAACAATACCAACACACTAACCAATATATTTTATCTCAACATCAGAAGTATCATCAACAAAATCGCACCTTTATAATACCGTAGACCTACGTTCTCTAAAGATCTCTATATACCGGTCGGTACACGAAGACGTATTCAAAGACATTGTTCTCGATCCCACAACTTTAATGACTTTTCCTCTTTAGTAACGATGGCTGAAATAATTATCCAAACAGAGGCAATAAGTACACAAAAAGCAGTCGCACAGGAAAAACGTGCAGTCGAACTTAACAATAACTCCTCTGCATTCACCATACCCCTTCAAAATAAACTTAAACGTTCCAAATCGAGAGGGATCATATTCATTAAAGACAAACAAGTATACGAAGTCCCTGAAATTGTTACGGAACTATTTAGCGAACACTTGCTTCTCACTGACTAACGAAAAACCACTAAACGATTCAGAACCAATCACAGTACCTCCCTATGAAATTACTAATGTAGACTTCAATGTATAAAATATCTCTAAGGCAATTAGTACATTGAAACACTCATACACTGATGGACCAGATGGTATTCCAGCTAGCATGCTAAAACGTGGAGGTGATGACATGTGTGTTTTGTTTCTCAAACTTTTTGCGATATCACTCTCTACAGCGTGTTACCCTACTGCCTGGAGAACTACATATATCATTCCCAAAATTGTAACAGGACCTGAAGCAAATGTTGACAATTACCGACCAATAAACATAACCAGTGGTATCTAGAGTGATGGAAAAAGTAGTTAAGGCGGCTGTAGTCCAACATCTACTTACTAATTATCTCATCTCGACCTCCCAGTATGGATTTCTTAGGTCAAGATCATGCGATACATGCCTGGTAGACTACCTGAATGATATTGTGGTGTGTGCTACTTATGTAGACATAAGTAGTATATGACGTGAGCACTGAACAGAATGTCTGGCGGCAGAGAGATAAGAAGATTGAACAATAAAGAATGAAGACAGAATGCAATTTGTATGAAAATGCAAGAACAAGGGGATTCTGAGTGATTTGAGACAATTGATGAACAATTTGCAAATTAACGATTCAATATATGGTTGTTTGATTTTACTAACTAATTCTGTAATTTGTTGTTAAATACATTGGATTGTCCTCACTGGTGTTTTGTTCACTACAATATAACTGAAAAGAGACAACGGATTCCTTATATCAATTCTATTATTGAATTTTAAGAAATTCTTTGATAAGGTCCCACATAAAGGCTTCTCGTCAAACTAAAGTCCTTCCGAATAAATAACCTACTGTACTCATGGTTTGCTTCGTTCTTAACAGAACATAAACACATTGTAAAGTACAATGACTATCTCTCATCACCTAGACCAATAACTAGCGGAGTCGTCAAGGGAAATGTATTAGGTCCACTCTTGTTTCTTATGTATATAAACGATATACGTAACACCATAACATTTGGGAAACCATACATATATGATGATCTCAAAATAGTATACAGCTATAAGCCTGAAACCCTAAGCGAAAGTGTACCCCTGATCCTAAATGACCTCAATAACTTAACTATCTGGAGTGAAAAATGGCAATTACCATTTAACCTCAACAAGTGCGGGATCATGCAGTTTGGAAAGAATCCCTGTAAACTGCAACTTCATTTAAATAAAAGTAGAGTCCAGACGCTCAAATCAGTACACGATCTAGGAATTAAGTAAACAAGAAGTCTGAACTTTGAAGAACATGCCTCATCTATTATTTCTAAATGTAGACGGCAAATTGGTTACATAATGAGAAATTTCTTCACAACAGAGGCTAAGCTTACTCTCTACAAAATATGTGTACGACCTTTCCTGGAATACTGCTCTATTTTCTTCTCTAATATGAATACCACCGACAAGATAAGAGTAGAAGACGTTCAAAAATGCTTCATACGCCAACTGCTAGGAAGTAACTCGAATGCCGACTACACAGATAGATGTAAGCACCTCTCTTTAGAACCTTTATGGCACTGTAGGCTAAAGAATAATTTAATATTTCTCTACAAAGCGATATATGGACTCTCATTTCTAACCTCCTGCCCAACTATTATTCACGACCCAGGCTATATACTAAGAAACAAAGGATATACACTACTTACCGTAAAACACCAAAAACAAATGCGTTGTAAGTTTTTTACGGTATGGTATAGTTTATTATGGAACAGGTTTCCATTGCCTATCCGTAACTGTGACACATTTACCAGATTCAAAAGGCTAATAACCCTGTCTCTAGACTCTAAAGAGCTACAATCTTTCCTTGAACTCCCGCCCATCAATGAAGCACTTTATTATGGACCACCTAATATCTAGACTGAACAAGAATATAACGAGCCCGACTATTACTAACATGAATACAACTAAATTACAGGACATATGGTTTGCCGTTTCCTATTATTCACTGTCCATTAATCAAGGCCTAATGCTCCTAACCCTCACTTTCAGTTCCCAAATCCCTCTACTGGTTAAATATACATTTTTCTTCCTAAGTGTCATGTCTTTTTTTCTATTGCAAGTAGACAGATAACTCACTAATCTTATGGATGCTGATCTACTATGGCTGATCATACGAAGCTCAAAGTTGATCATAAAGTCTTATGAGTTGTTCAATGTTTTATTTTTCTTACCCTAAAAATTTTACAATTTTATACTCTTTCATATCATTTGATTTGCTATTAGTCCTACTATCTTTAAACCACATATAATATAACCTGTTTTTTTATCTTTCACCATTAGTTATCTTCATAGCAGCGTGATATAATAAATGGACATCTAACCCATAATACAAACGTTTTAACTACATGATTTCCTTGTAACATGGAACTAGTACAGACAGTGCATTCCAACTATGGGCTATGATTAAAGCAGTATTCATACTTATCACGAATGTAAGGGAGCCTAACATCCCGAAAGGAGGGAGGGGGCGTTACTGACCAGCGAACATGGTGGTGTGGAGACAACTTCAATCCACTCATGTCTGTAGGGCAGAACATTTTGTTAAATTACGGCTCCTTACGGTCTAGTGAAATGTCATGAACTAATGGTATTGATGCTGATTTATCATGCAAAGTACCTCATTAAATCGTGTTTAGAACGTTGAATTGGTTTCACTTCCTACCCAATAATCCTATTACGAGCAAACTAGATAATGCACTAAAAAGCGAAGCCTACTCAAGACCCTATAAAATCTAAAAAGGCTCCAATAGCGTCGACAAAAAGGGAAGGCAGCCATTTGTAAATCATAATACTGTTTTTAGCACTATATTTTCTAACTACATATTCCCATACTTTCAGTTTCTTTCTGAACCACCTCCATTTGTCAGTTGTTTATCCACTCATCCCTTGTTTACGCTTATTTTCTTTGACCTATTATAATTTTCCTGTTTAATAAGTACTTTAATAAGAGAATCAGGCTGAGCAGTCATACCTTAACTATTTCTTCATCAATGTTGTCTGCTCTGCTTCTCGTCTTTTTTTCTCTTGCACCATTTTTTAGTCTCTTTGTAATACGGAGCGGGTGATCTCGTCCTGCACCATCCTTAAAACCTCAGATGGGCGAGACTCTAATTTAGGGACGAGCCAATCAGAAGCGTTTGAGCCATTTCAAGGTCACGGAGCCAAGTTTAACGCATGATGCTGACATACGGTCGGTTTACGGCGGATTTTAGAGATGAGTTTATTATTGAAAGGCTACAAGAGATGGGACTACTACGAAGTTCTTGTATGTGTGACTGCGGTTCTGAAATGACTACAATGAAGTCTGAAGACAACCACGGCGAGATTATGTTCCGTTGTCTTTCATGCTGGAGGAAAAAGTCCACTAGAACAGGGAC